ATTCAGCTGAAGCGGTGTTTTGGTCAGCATGTTCCTGCCACAAACTGAGTCAATCAGCTGCTTGTCTTCTGGGAAGAGGGCGTGATAGAAGGTTCCCACCTTGAAAGCATCATTGAAACCATGATTGGGACACCTCAGGAAGAAACTGTTGTATCTCTCCCAAGCATCCCTGATGGTCTCATCCTCGTCCTGAGCAAAATGGGTAATTTGCTTCTGCAGGTCCGCCGTCTTGGATGGAGGATGGTAGCGGGTGAGGAACTTGTCCGCCAGGTTGGTGAACGTGGTGATGGAGCCCGGAGGTCGAGTGTCTAGCCACTCCTTGGCCTGCCCCTCCAGGGTGAATGGGAAGTACCTCAGCTGGATGGCATCTGCTGGGACCCCATTGATCTTGATTCCATCGATGAGCTCGTGGAATCGCCTGAGATGTGATCGGGGGCACTCCCCCTCTTTGCCTCGGAACACCACTGAACCGCGCAGCATGGTGATTACTGAGGTGCTCACCTCAAAATTATTGGCTGGGACATGAGGGTGTTGAATGGGTGACCTCATGTCTGCAGCCCTGGCGGTCCAGTAATGTCCCATGGTCTGCTCCCTAGGATTGACCACATCATGGTCCTGTGGATCAGCCATCTCCTCTTCTTCAGTGATCTGTAGCTGTGCTAGCGCCTCCTCCGCAGCCAGTCGCGCCTTTAGAGCCCGCTTGAAGTTTCTGCAGGTTCGTTCAAGCTCCTGGTCTAGTGGTAGTAGATCTCCCGACTGGCTACGAGTCATGCACTACCTGCACACAATCAGCAGAAGCAACCCGTGAAGGCACACAGGTGGAAGAGATGAAATGCAGTAAATAAAAAGCTAGAGTAACAGATTTGCACGTTTCCCCAATAACCTAGAGGTTCCCCGGCAACGGCGCCAAAAACTTGACACTCCAAAACACAACACCAAACTGCGACCAAGTGTAATCGCAGTCCGGGAATGCAGTAAAATGGCAAGTTATATTATCAACCCGGGGTCTAGATCTACTGCTTACTCCGTGATTCTCTATTATCTAGCCAACTAAGTTACGTGATTGTTGTTTAAAGCAAAAGCAGAAAGAAAGCAGGAATTGGTACGGTTTTCTCAAGCAAAGAAGAGTCACTCGGGAATGAGTCCCCCTAGATCCTTAGTTAGGTTTCAAATGTAATTTCCCTGGGTTGATTTACTGTTGATTAGACTGCGGAAGATCCGACAGTAGCTTGGAATCTCTTAAGCTGACCAAGCCCTCTCAGTCTAACTACCCGGCAGACGACTAGTCTTCACTGGGATAGAAAGCTGAAGCAATAAGCACAGAACTCCACTACTTGAATTGGATTCCAGTACAAAGCAGTAAACTGGCTAATTCTCGTATAGCCAATCTCCTACTACCGAATGATGAGGCTCTAACAACCTAATCAGATTCTATCTATCTCAGGTTGCAGCAGAAATCAGGAAAAGCTGATCAGACTTCAATTGACTCAATAAACTTGCATCATTCGATTAAAACCAAGCAGTAATATCATCCCAAGTCATTACAATCAAATCCCTAACACATAGAACTAGGGTTCTTCATACCCAAGTGAGAGAAGGGTTCTACTCCATAGAGAGAGAGGGAAACAGAATACAAAGTAGTCATACTCATAAAGATGAGCAAAAACTGCTCTGGGATGATGATTTCCACTCCTATGACGATCTCCAAGCTTGATTTGATGAAACCCCGCTCCAAGATAGCTTCTAGGATGTGTTCTTCGTACTTTCTCTCTCTAGGGCTCTGTTTTCGCTCTGAAAACTCGATTTCTCCCCATTGCAGCCCAAAATTGGGTAAAAACCAGAAATTGCCGACTCACACGGGCAGGGTCACACGGCCGTGTGGCATACCTAGTTGTCCGTGTGACTTCAAAACGCCGTGTTCCGAGTAATTGGATTTCAGGCTTCCTACACGGCCAGGGTCACACGACCGTGTAGCTCACCCAGCCTGGCCGTGTGAAGCCTCGCAGAATTCCACACGGCCAAATTGCAACTTCACACGGCCATGTGGAAATTATATGTTCCTGTGTGAGGTCTCACACAATCCCACACGGCCAAATTGGTCACTTGCACAGCCATGTGGGTTGTGATTGTGCCCGTGTGGCTTTCTTTTTGACTTGCCTCGTGCCCGATCTTCGTCTAATCGACCCCGAACTCGCTCCTAAACCTTCATTCACTTGCTAGGACCTGAAATATCATAAACAAACACAACCTAGCGTGAAATCGGCCTAAAACACGAGAATCAACACCTCAAACGGTTCCAGAATAGGGGTAAAAACATGTGCAATTAACGGCTTATCAATAGTCACCAGTGATGATGATGTGGGGATTACGGCTCTTACGAAGGGTTTTCATGCTTCATACAGTCTAAAGGAGCTTGGTTATGTCTCCTACTTCCTGGGCATTGAAGTCAAGCGTAGTCGTGATGGGATTCTTGATAGACCGTTAATTGCACATGTTTTACCCCTATTCTTGAGCCGTTTGAGATGTCAATTCTCGTGTTTTAGGCCGATTTCACGCTAGGTTGTTCTTGTTTGTGATATTTCAGGTCCTAGTACGTGAATGAAGGTTTTGGAACGAGTTCGGAGTCGATTGGACGAAGATTGGAATGTGGCGTGAAGCTGATGGAGCCACACGGGCACGCCTAAAACCTACACGGTCGTGTGGCCTGGCCGTGTGGCACCAAATTGCACGGGCAAAGTCACACGGGCCGTGTAGGGGACCACCTGTGGCCATGTGGAAATTCCAGGGAACTCACACGGCCATCCTGTAATTCCACACGGTCGTGTGGGTCGTGGCCGTGTAGGAAGCCTGAGTCACTTATCAAAACGCCGCGGTTTGCATATCTCACACGGGCAGCTGGGGATGTCACACGGCCGTGTGAGTCGGGATTTTCTGGGTTTTAACCCAATTTTCAGCAAAGGAGAAGGGGTTCCGAGTTTTAGAGAGAAAAAGCGATTCCTAGAGAGAGAAAGAAACGAACCAGAGTTCCCAAGTGCCCTAGCTTGATCTTCATCACCATTGGAGCTCGGCTCACACTTGGAGAAGTGCCGATTGACGACCAAGAGCAGAAACCCATCCTTCACAGCATGATTTCTGCATCTGAGCTTGCTTTGGCTTCTCTCTCCATGGAGTAACTTCCTCATTCATCTGGGTATGGAGAACCCTAGATTTGTATGTTAGGTCTGATTGTATGAACCCAAGTACAGATTCTATGATTTGATTATATTCAATTAAGGTTTGAGTTGTTGAATGGCATGAATCCTGATCAAATTCCTGTTATTTCTGCTTTGACGTAGAAAGAGAATATATGCCTAGGTTGATAGAGCACCCTTAATTGAAGGTAGGGAATTGGCGACTTTAGTCGAGGAGTCAATTCACTATTCTTTACGAATTTGCTTCGATAGTGGAGGTTTGGTTCGTTAGGGCCTCAATCTGTTTACTCCGGTGGAGGTTAGTCGCCCGCTGGGGACTCAGATTGAGAGGGTCTGGAGACCTTTAGTCGAGACTTCAGACTGTTTAAGAACCTCCCGCAGTATAACTATCATAGAAATTGAACTTGGTAAATTACAATTCGGCTTAACTGCAGTCTAGGGGGAACCATATCCGGGTGACCTCTCTCGACTTGAAAACAACCTTCTTGCTTGCCTTGCTTGTTTGTTAGTTTGGACCTTCACTAAAGTTTCACTGCTAAATAATAAGAATTCACTGAGTAGTCATCACATCTAGGACCCAGGTTGACATTAAAACTCAAACCCGCTATACTACGCTTTAGGAAGTGGTTACACTTGGCCATTTTCTAGAGTGACGGTAGGAGCGAGTCCTCTTGTATCAGAGTAAGTATATTGATGATCTGTTGGAGTCTTCTCGTTTTGGGGAGTGTGCTTCTGTTTCTACTCCCATGGAGCTCGAGTTGAAGCTTGGACGAGAGTCCGGTGATACCTTACCTGATGGTGGGAAGCATTATCGCAGTGTTGTTGGGAGCCTCATATATTTGACATCTACTCGTCCGCATATTGCATATGGAGTTCAGATAGTTATTCAGTTTATGTCTGCTCCTCGCACAGATCATCTAGCTGTCGTCCATCACATTTTACGTTACCTGCAGGGCACCAAAGAGGTTGGGTTGTTTCTTCCATCATCTCGTTCGTTTGTTCTTCAGGCTTTCTCCAATTCAGATTATGTAGGATGTGTGGACACCCGTCGGTCAACTACTAGATGGTGTATTCGGCTCAGTGCGTCTTTTGTTTCATGGCGATGTAAGAAGCAGGACCGGGTGTCTAAATCTTCTACAGAAGCGAAGTACCGAGCTATGTCAGATGTTGCTTCTGTGATGATCTGGCTTCGCCGCCTACTTGGTGACTTAGGAGTGGATTGTGAGATTCCTCTCCATCTCTATATTGATAATACGAGTGTCATTCAGATTGCTACAAAGTGGGTGCTTCATGACCGTACGAAGCACATAGAGGTTCATCTTCACTACATACGCGACTTGGTTCGTGATGGTATTCTTTGCATGTTTCACATCACGTCTAAGGACCATATTACTGATCTATTAATAAGTCTTTCTCGACTAGTCACTTTATCTTTCTTGCAAATTGATGATGAGAGATGCTCATTAATTTTGGAGAGGCTGTTGAGTAATATAATTGTTCTGGGCTTCGGCCCACCTTCCCTAGCCATATGTATATGTATAATCGAGCGGGTTCGGGTTGGATAGTAAGAAAACCATGCCCACCCATTACCTACAATATTCCGGTTCGAGTTTTACCCGTACCCACAAAAATTTCTTCGAGTTCGAGTTTTACCCTATCCGATTAGGTCGGATTCGGGTGGATATCCATAGTTACAGATATTTTTGTCATCCTTGGCCCCTTACTTGGCTATTGGGATTCAAATCCATAAAACTATTCTTTGTGCTATGTCCGCTTATTGGTTCAACCTTATGTCCAAGCAATCAAAATTCATTTTGAATAAATTTAATGTAGAAAGAAGTTCCCCGAGTAATTTTTCAAATCTTCAATGGCTACCTAGAGCAAAAGACGACATGTTTCAAAAGCTTATCTAGTGGGTTACTTATCTTACTTGAGAACTAATGAGAATCAAATGTGGAAGGCTCAATTGGTAAATAAGATTTGCCATAGCACAAACAAGCGGAGGACATAAGAGAGAATAACATCTTACTAATTGAGATGTAGGGTAAAACAAATGTATAAAGTTTAGTTGGAATAAACTGAATTCTTGGTTTCAAACAATGTTATGATGGGGTGTGAAAAATCGAGAACAAACAAAGACAACACACGAGTTTTACGTGGTATCCTCGATCGTTTGATTGATCGAGACTAATCCACGGGAGAGGACTGTCTCTCCATCATTAATATTATTGAGATCTCAATTCGTTACAATGGTCGTGTGCGGCCTGCTGGCTCCTTATATAACCTAGGCAACTGCTCAACTAGGGTTACACATGGAAATGGATTCCTTATCAAACGAGGACAAGTACTACTTGTCTTACAAGCATTACCAACAACACGTGTTGGAGTCTTGGGCTCTACTGCCATAGGCGAAGTGGGCTCTGGAGAGGTAGGCTCGATATCTCGGTCCAATAGGGTGGTCAGGATCCAATTGAAGATTTGGAATAGAGAGTTGGATTCATCCTGTACGCAGAAATTAAAAGAATGTTCATTTGAACAATTAATGCAAAACGTTAAGTAGACAATGTATCAAAGTTTGAAGGCAACTAGGCAAGTGACCATTTTAATAGCAACCAACCACAAGCCATCTTATAAAAAGAACCATCGGTGTTCTTCATGCACCTAATCCCATCTGTCAATGTGTGAATCCTACAGTTTACCTAGACTTGGGGTTAGTTGTCACATAATAATAATTCCCTCACAATCCAATTGATTCTCAACCTTTATCTTGTTTTGTTTGTAGCCAACTTAGAAAATGTGTTTGTTTAGAAGATGACAAGGGTTCATTAGATTTAATAGCAGATAATATAATACAGGATTCGGTTTCCATAGAAAAGGAAAGGTGTGACAGGTTCCAGGTATTTCCAAACGGAACGTGCCACCGGATCCACAAGACGCGCAAACAGAAAACCATTGAACAAAACTACAGAGAAGAGAGAGAGGACGCCACGAACTTTGGAGGAATTAGCTACTAACAACCAAGCAAATTGCACTATTATTAGATTATTATTACTATATCGTAGCTCAGTGAATAGCGAAAAAGAGCTCGAGCCTGAGTGGAAAATTGCTGTCCATGTCTGGCTTTCATCAGCACTCCTGGAAAAAGCACGGCTGCAAATGCTTCTCAAAGCGAGGGTCCAGTTGTTGGAACAACAAAATAAAATATCAGCACCCATAATTGAAAAAAAGGTCTCCACTTTTCCAAAAGCTAAAGCGCGATATGATATGATGATTTCATCATCATCGCCACCAGCCTCTCTCGAGACATCTCCTGTACGCAACTTTTGTTGGAACCAAAACGACACAACTCGCCATTTTCGTCATGTCATCCGGCTATGAAAACTGATGAAATCATCCCCCCTCAGACCCAGCAAGCAAAATGAGAGAAACATGCTTCCCCCTAACAAAACACACCAATGAGAGGGGATAGCAGAGGATAAGATCGATGGTCGTCGGAATTATACACTGTCGCGACAACAATAACTAATGACCTCTCGATCCGGGGTAGTACGAACGATTCTTCTTGTGTTTTACTACACCTTCCTTATCTCAAATAAGAAAAGGAACAACACTTCTGCAGCTATTAAAAGGGAGGATCATTCTGCCGTACAAATTTTATGGTCAATGCACAGCTTTAAGTACATGTGAAGGTACATGACATTAGGCGATAGTCTGAGACCTACCAAAGCACGTTATGGCTTACCAAGTTGGGAAGGAAGGAGATTAGGAGAGTGTTTGCCATTTCCAGTGCCCACTGCTGACACTCTGTTTTAGCTTCTTTTAGTGCCCCACAAAAGACAGACAGACTATCTTTTCTTTGCTCAACGTGGCCAAGCACTAAACTTTATCAAACAGGGTTTGTCACACCTACCTTCTCATATAAACTGACACGCGACTTAACAGTATGGATGGTACATTCAAGCCATATCTATTGCCTTAAACAAGTTGGTTTGTACTTTGCAGGTAACGCACATTGCAGAAAACTCTCAATTGCAGTAAGACAAAAACAACGAAAACTCTGTGTATTCCATTCTCTTTGATCCTATCTAAGTTCTGTGGTTCTTGTACTTGGAACAGAATATACAAATCAGAGCACAAGTAAAACAAAAAATGAACAAGAAGGAAACCCACAAGAAGAAAATATTAAGAACCGAAGAATTATCATACAAAAAAGGCAGCTGCTTTTGAACAAGCTTACCCAGTACCCTCCTCCTTGCTATGTTTTATTCTGTATCGGAAGGTACATATGTAGAAGGAAATGATTGCAATGAATCAGTAGACAACCTGGGAGGGGAATCAATTATTGAACACGCAGTAGAGCCCATGCCGCCACCACAAGCATCTCGTTCAGATTCCTCCATCATCAATTTCTGCAACCCAGGTCTCAATTCGTTGTTGCAGAAATCATCGTACTCCCCTTTATCCCCACCCTTCTTCTTCACTTCAACCACCACCAACTTGGGGGTTAACTCGAATATCTCAGCTGCGATCGACAACGGCCCTTTCACTCCTTCCCTCGACCCTTCCAAGCTCACTCTGTAATCCTTCTTCCTCACCGTGAAGCTCACCAGCTGCGCAATCTCCTCCAACTTCGATATGATCTTCGATACAGGCGCCCCGGACACGAACCTCGCACCTTCCCCTCCTTCCTCGAACAACCCGGACAAATCGAACCCTGGCGAAAACGATATGATGTCGAAGGCGTTCAAACTCGCGGGTCTCGGTAGGGATGTCACTCTTCGTCGAGATTCGAATTCGGAATCCGATTCAGACATGGAGGCATCCGAGCAAGAACCTGCATCGTCCTGCTGCTCTTGACTCATCAATTCGTCTACATTGTACACCCTATCATCTTCTATGTAGAATTTGATGTGTTTAAACCCTCTTTTGAACCATCGATTCTCCATTACCTCCGTAATGGTGATTCGAGTCGCGGGATTAGTGTCGAGGAGTTTCGTTAGCAGCTTGGCGAGTTCTGGGGAGAACCACCGAGGGCAGCGGAAATCGCCCTTGTAGATCTTCTTATACATGAGCATAATGTTCTGGTCGTGGAATGGAAGGTATCCAGCCATCAATACAAACAATATTACGCCGCAGGACCAGATGTCTACCTTCGCGGCGTCGTATCCCTTTCTGGCGAGAACCTCCGGCGCCACGTAGGCAGGGGTGCCGCAGAAGGTGTGGAAGAGGCCGTCCTGGCGAATCTGATCGGCGACGGCGCTGAGCCCGAAATCTGAGACCTTCAGGTTTCCGTTCTCGTCGAGGAGGAGGTTCTCGGGCTTGAGGTCGCGGTGGAAGACGCCGCGGGCGTGGCAGAAGGCGACGGCGGAGACCAATTGCTGGAAGTAGCGGCGGGCGACGTCCTCTTTGAGGCGCCCCTTGGCGACCTTATTGAAGAGCTCGCCGCCGCGGACGTACTCCATGACGAAGTAGATCTTGGCCTTGGTGGCCATTACTTCGAAGAGGTGGACGATGTTCGGGTGGCGGACGCGACGGAGGTTGGAGATTTCGCGCTTGATGTGGGCGATTAGGCCGCCCTTCATGATTTTCTCCTTGTCGATTACTTTTATCGCGACGTTCTCGTTCGTCTTGACGTTCCTGGCGTGGTAGACTTTGGCGAAGGTGCCATGGCCGAGCAGCTTCCCGATCTCGTACCGACCTAGAAGCAGGCCTTGGTTGCTGCTGCTGCTGCTGCTGCTGCTGCTCCCGCCTCCGCTGTTGGAAGTCGGGGAATTCGAGACTTTCGCCGCCATGGATGGGTTTTGATCGGCGGCCAGGGATTGTGATTACGGACGGCTATCCGATTCTATGATTGTTTCTGTCTGTTCCTTTTCCTATTTGGGGATTGAATTTGGGTTTTGGGGAAGATGAATGAATGGGAAAGAGAGAGAGAGAGAGAGAGGGTGTTGTGTTGCGTTGCTTTTGTTGGTAGCGCAGGGCTTGAGATGAGTGGTGCTCAGGGGAAAGCGTAGAAACTAGAAACTAAAAACAATAATGAAATAATAATATTTGTTGTTATTAATATTAATTAATTAATGGAAGGAGAAGAAAAGGAGAAAACAATTAAACTTGATGCTTTTACTGCCAAGCGTATATGCCTATTGCCTAACTAAATATTTGCTGTCACATTTTTATTTTTTAAATATTATTATTTTTAATGGAAGGAAATGGGAATTGTTTGTTGGTGCGCAGCGTATCAGGGTTTTTTTTTGTTAACTTATCAAAGCTCTGCCGATCTGACGGAGTAATGGTTGAAAAACTCACCACATGAGTGCAACAAAAGTTTAGGCCACCATTGAATAATCAAAATGAATCCGCTAACACGTTAGCACATCAATAAAAATATCAGAGAGATTTACGATTTATAAGTAATAAATCACTTTCGCTGACAAAACACTTTTTGAAACAAAATAAAAAAAAGTACTAGTACGAATTTCAAAGTTAAACGTGCTCACTTGATGACCGATCTCTTGGAAAATCATCTTGATATGCACCCAAGACAAAAATTGTGCGAGTATCGCTGCAAAGCGGACAATATATTGGTTGGAAAAAGGTTTGGGATGATGCAACTGCTATCAGAGCCTCTCTGCATCCCCTTTTGGTGATGGTGGGGTGTATACAACACGTTAGGCAAATCCCGCATCGACAAAGCACAAGAGAGATTCATGATTCATAAGTAAAAAACAGACACCAACCGACCATACACATTTTGGGGTGAAATGGAAGAGTTATTTTAAGAACTCTGAAATTAAACATGCTCGCTATGAAGGAAATAAGAATGGATGACCTTTCGAGAAGACACCTTGATATACACCCCCCCCCCCCCCCCCCCCCCCAAGGCAAACACCATGCGAGTTTAGACCCAAAGTGGACAATAACTTTGTCGGAAAAAATTCGAGAGGTTACACATACCTTCGATTAATCTGAAAATAAACTTATTATATATAACACTTACGAATTCGAGCTTAGAATTTTTTATGAAAGAGTTTTAAATTCTAATCCTTTTTTTTTTTCTTTTTTGCAAATACCTCTCTTGTATTACAAAGAAATCAAAGATGTCAGAGTATACAGACCACAAATAAAACATTGTCAGCAATCAAAACTACCAACACCTGTTGGAGGCAAAGAAATTATCTTTTTGGCCACCAAATGAGACGCCCGATTTTTTCTGTCTATAAATTCCTCTGAGAAACTCTGATAATGTTGTCGGAGCCGATTAATTTCTTCCGAAATCACTCTACCTCGCGCATCTTGCATCTCCTGACCCTCTTGGGGTCGTTTGCTTGTTGCATTTGGATCACATATTTGGTATCCAAATCACAAGTTTGATGGTTTAATCCATGTTTATTGTTTGTTGATGGGTGTCGAATCCATGAGGTCTTTAGATTTGGCAGAAGGTCTGCTAGATAGACATTATCGCATAAGGAGGCTCCAATTATCACATATCGAATTCATCCAGTTTTTACAGTGCGTTGGTTGGTTGTTCACGAATTAGATGTACCTACATTTTCTTTTGGGGTCGATATCAGCGATGCAGTTTGCTCAACAATAAACCTAACCTACTCACAATTAGTAATAGAACTATGACACAATCAAACCTGAACGAGAAAATTGTTGAATTGAATTATACCAGCTTCTATTAGGGTTATTACTTATTTTTATACTTGTTTTATTTTCTTCTTTCAATTAATGGACGAGAAGAGAATAGTGCAATAATAAATAGATAGAGTAGGAATTTTCTTATCCCATTAGAAAGATATCATTTTGCTCTTTAAAACGGATCCAAATTCGTAAATCCAACGCACTTGTAAATCTCACATAATGAGTAGTGATTTGTAAATCATTAATGACTATTGACATATGTAACAAATCTATCATAAATATATCATCAAATCTATCATGCTAACAATAGACTCTCCAAATCATCCAACCACCACATGGATCCCGCCGCCAGACTATTTCTTGAAGATCATTTTGGACGCTGCTGTTTGTGCCACTGGGTGTTCGTCTGGGCTTGTTGTCCTTGTGGTGTTGGCGTTCGGGTTACAGCATCAAGGAATAGTCAACATTTTCCTGGCAGAGCTCCTAGCCATTAGAGACGCTATCTCCATCATCACCTGAAGATCTTTGACTCACGTGATAGTCGAAGGTGATTCCGGAGTGGTCGTCAAGGAGATCCAGCAAGGCATCATAGAAGACTCGATTGGTGGTCCGGTGTTATGAGAGTGTCGTCAGATCCTTAGCTCTTTGTCCATTTGTATAGAGTTTAGGGCGGTACCTAGAACTGCCATCAGTGCTGCCCATAGAGTGGCGCGTAAAGCACTGCTTCTGTCTCGTCTAGAGCTAGAATCTTAGGATTTTTTGGGGTTGTTTCATTAGAATTTATTGTAAGGGGTTCTGGGTAGATTTGTATGAATAACTCTTGTCCTCTATTGATATCACTCAGAAAAAAAATAGTCTCTCCAAATCAATAATACAATAAATTCATCATAAATCCCAAAGTTTTTCTCCCAAAACCATTATTTTTCAAATTCAACGAGCAAATGAACCCCTAATCTTGTCGATGATAGCTTGCACATCCCTATGGAATGCCACCTCGGTTAGATCCTTCGTATAGCTCAACTGGATTGCATCTCGTAGCGCCATCAATTCGACTAACAAAGGATCCACTAAATTTGCATACTGGAAAACCTGCACGTAAACCACACTTATCGTCATGTATATCACTACTTATCCCCCAACAGAATGAGAACCTGCCAACACCGCACCATCAACAAAGTAAAGAAAACGAAGCACTACCCCCATTCTCTTTCATAGCATCTCGCCCTACTGGATGCAAAACAATAGGAACCAGATGAATTGACAAGGCCAACCACTCATTCACTTATTCGTGAAGTAATACTGTGGAACCATACTGGATGCAATCAAATACAACCCAGTTTCTATACTTCTAGATTCGCCATAAAAGAGCGACTAATCTCATGATCCCCCTCAGGCGAAGAATCGCACCCCACTATCTCCATGCGAATGAAATTTCTCATCACACCATCGAGCTCCAAGTCGTCTGGATTGATTAGGGTTGAATAAAAATACGTAAAATTTTTAAAAAACATGTTAATGTCAAATCACTCCTGCTATACTTTCAATTTTTTTCTTTTTTTTTCCGTTGAATCAGTTTCTTTATTGACGTAAATAGAGAACCAATACAACGAAGCAAAAGCTATGGTAGCTTCTGCGCAGAAACAACCTCATCTCACCTCAACTAATTACATGTAAAATACCCCCCAAAACATTCAAAGGTACCCCAAGTTCACCAGGCCAGCCCGTAATGAGGCATTCCCAGCTATCATGAACTGCAGCTCAGCATGCGGAGCCTCCGCTACCTTCATAGAATCTCGCCTGGACTCACCATGAACAACTCCACAACGTTCTCTCCAGATAGAAGAAAGCAACATACACCATGCCACCTCGCCTTGCCTGCAGATCAAGTAGCGGAACTAGCATTCAAAAGCATGGCATCCCAATTACCTGGATTGAGAAGCCTGCATCTCATGAGCAAAGCAAGGCGTTTCGAGAACTGGCATTGGAGGAATAGTGCTCCCTAGTTTCCACTGAGGATGCACACAATGGACATGATGCATCAGTTCCTTTGCCCCAGCTCAACAGTTTGTCCCTTTGTGTAATAGCATTCTTTAGTACTAACCAGGCAATCATGTTGTAGCGAGGAGGGCAAAGCTTACTCCAAACAAGCTTATACCAACAGACTGTTGGTTGTTTATTTTTCATAGTTTCCCACACCGTACGCACTGAATAAACTAACATTTTGTTTGCCCCCCCCCAATAGCTCTCGCCATTTCTTATTTGCATCCATGGCCGGACTTTATCTCTTAATTTTTAACATATACTTTCAATTTTCTTATCCTATATTTGTTACTTTCCTTAGACCTTTCCAACTAATACTTTCATTCTCTACCTAATAATTTTATTCTTTTTCATTTTCAAATTTATTTTATTCGTTTTCATTAAACATAAATATAAATACGATGCAACCATTAGACTGCAGTTTGTAGATACGTCAAGATTTATTTATAATTAAAAAAGAAACTAACATAACACTATAAGAAAAATGACGGCTCGTACTAACTACCAAGTACGACCCAGGTTAAATGGACTTGACCCACACCCATGCCATGCCGGCCCAAACATGGCCTATCCCCTAGCCGAGATAAAGATCCACTTTCATGCGTATATCCGGAGTATGGTGACCAGATTGATATTTATCCACAACCTTCTCTCTCGCACGTGGTAGAGGAGCAAAACGTGTGCCGGTTTCCACGATACATAAACCGATCAGACGAGAATTTTGCGGTTCTCTCCCGTTAGCCGTTCTACCGTCGACGCTCATTCAACTCACTCTCAGAACTCAGAAGCCTGTGTACAGATCGAATTCCATCTCCGATTTGATTAAAAAAACAAAACGGCACCTCAGCCATGACGGCGGAGACGCTGCCGTACCAGAATGGCGCTGTGTCCAACGGCGGTGGCAGTGGTGTTGCCTCCTCAAATACTAACGTGGTCGCCAATGGAGATCCGTGTGCCGCAAACCCTAGCTCCGGCAAGAAGGCGAGAGAGAGCGAGCGTCGCCGGCGGAGGCGCAAGCAGAAGAAGAACAAAGCTGGTTCCCATGCTCCTGATGCTTTAGCAGCAGCCAATGGCGACGATAGCGATGCCGACGAGGCGAAGGAGAACGATAATCCTCAGAAGGTAGGGCCCCGTGTTTGTTTCACTTGCAGACTTATAGGGTTTCACTTTTGCTAATTCCTTCGTTTCAAAATTTATGTAGTGTGTAGTTCTAGTTTCTGAGTGGAGAATTGCTGTTTACTAGCTTGCACGATTAGTCTTTTTCCTGCTTCATTTCGATACTCACTCTGCTTATCTTTCCGTTTTGGGGTGGTAGGGTTTCGAGCAAGTTGTAGTGGAATATGTTCCCGAGAAGGCTGAGTTGGAAGATGGTGTTGATGATGAATTCAGAAAGATCTTTGAGAAATTTAGTTTTCTCGAGGGCACGGCTGCTGAGGTATGCAGTTAGATAATATTCCAGTTTCTTGTCAATTTTCAAGTCATTTATACTGTTTGCTCCGGATACAGGATACTGATAAGAAAGATGAAGCGGCACAAATTGTCGAGCCTAAGAAGAAGGCTGACTCAGATTCTGATTCTGAAGAGGGGGAGCAAGATAACCAGCAGAAGGATAAGGGTGGCTTGTCAAACAAGAGGAAAAAGGTATGAGCAGGATGCTTACTTTGGTTTGTTTTGTTTTACCCTACCAGCATTGCTTGGTTTTTTTTAGCCAAGCATTACTTCGGTTTTTGCTAACTGATTCATGGTGTTATTGGCAGCTTTTGCGAAGAATGAAAATTGCAGAACTGAAACAGATTTGCTCAAGACCTGATGTGGTTGAGGTAGTTATCTATTCTATCTGCTCCCCTTTTTTAAAAAGATGTTGAATTGTGTAGGCTGAAGTTGGTTTCCTTTCATTTACAAGGTGTGGGATGCTACTGCATCAGATCCAAAGTTGCTTGTATTCTTGAAGGCATACAGAAATACTGTTCCGGTACCAAGGCACTGGTGTCAGAAACGGAAGTATCTTCAGGTTAGGAAGTAGTTGCTTAATTATGTATGAAATATGCATTGTTGATGGATATTGGTGCACCATGAGAGTTTAGGGAGAGGGTGAGGGGAGATAACAACGATAAGGTTTCTCTTATATGGATATATGTGGTTCTTGCAGGGGAGCGGCAACACTGCTGGAGCCTGGACTTGTATGTGTTTGCCACAGGGTCCCCTATAATTAACTGTCCTTAAATATTTTCTAGCGTGTACGGTTGGCGATGTAGGTGTCAATATGATAATTGCTGGTTCGATTGGGGGGTGGAGGTTTTTCTTGTTTGGAAGCCTTAAACTTGTCCTAGTGTCAGCTGGATTGCACATTTTTCACCATGTCATTGCTAATTCATCTACTTTGAACTTTGAATTTACAGATGCCTCTTCTATGCTTAGTGCTGGGTCCCACCTTCTTCTGAACCTTTTTCCTGATCATTTGGTTTTGAACCAAAGTTACTGGATAAGTAACTAAATGGTCTAGGGTAATCTGCGTAGTTACTACCTTGTTGGTACCTTATCCGGTTCGATATTCGTTTTTGCAGGGTAAGCGTGGTATTGAGAAGCAGCCATTCCAGCTCCCTGATTTCATTGCTGCAACAGGAATTGAAAAAATTCGTCAGGTAAATTTTGTGTTCGCAAATTTTGTACTTGTTTATTGTTGATAAGTGTTAACTTTTGACTGCTTTAACTTCCAGCTGGGTGTTTGTAATAATTTTCTGCTATGTCTCCAATTTATTATCCTGTAGTCAAGTGATGATGCCTTAACGAGGTCCTAAAAGCTTACTGGTTGGCGTCAACCAAATACGGTTTGCCTTTTCACATGGTGTAAGATGATCTGGATGTTTATGGTTTGGTGATGTTGGCTGAATTTATTGTTATGGAACATCCTCTTGATGTCTTTCTTTGTCATGATGTATTCTTACTTGATCTTTCTTACTTCCCTTTAGAATGGGAAAGTGCGAGACTCGTGGTAGGTTCTTTCGTGTATTGTCTGTTATAGGAATGATTTGTAATGTATGAATATGGATTTCGTCATTCAATATTAACTTTGGACAAAAATCATTACTGCTTTCTGCAATTGTGCAGGCATATATTGAGAAAGAGGATGGTAAGAAGTTGAAGCAGAAGCAACGAGAGCGAATGCAGCCTAAGATGGGGAAGATGGATATTGATTATCAGGTTTCGTTATCTGGCAATGTTGTTTTTTCTTTTTTTCTGGTGTCATCTCTGCTTTGTATTTATTGCTGCTCTGTGCCAATGACTTCTTTTGCAGGTTCTTCATGATGCCTTTTTCAAGTTCCAAACAAAACCAAAATTAACAAATCACGGTGACTTGTACCACGAAGGGAAGGAATTCGAGGTACAAACTCATCATTTCTTGGGTTTTCATGCTCATTATTGCTTCAGTCTCAATTCTTCAAATTTGTGGCATTTTTTTCTCCAATTTGTTCATCATCACAGACTTGAAAGTATATAGTTTTACTGGTATGGTCTGCTTCATATATTTGTCTACCCTTATAGGTGAAACTGAGGGAGATGAAGCCAGGGTCTCTTTCGCAAGAACTAAAAGAAGCTCTTGGTATGCCTGAAGGTGCCCCTCCACCATGGCTTATCAATATGCAGGTATAATCTTTTGGATATTTATAGGTTAAGTATAATTTTACCTCATCCTTGTTCTTACTATGTGATTACTGATCTTGTTTCTGCAGAGATATGGTCCTCCGCCATCATACCCGCATTTGAAGATCCCTGGACTGAATGCACCAATCCCTCCAGGAGCTAGCTTTGGCTATCATCCCGGTGGCTGGGGCAAGCCTCCAGTTGATGAGGTGAGTTATTAATGTCGTAGCCTGCAACATTGGACTAGTACTGCATAGGAAATTACTTACTGGTCTCATTTCCCTCGTGATAACTGATTTACTTTTTGTGTTTCCATATAGTATGGGCGGCCTTTGTATGGAGATGTTTTTGGGGTTCAGCAACAAGAACAGCCTAACTACGAGGTAATTTTCTTATTCTGGTTATGCTACTCTGTGTAGTCGAGGACTTGGTAATTACCTTGAAAGTATGTATTCATTGACTTGCTGATATTTGCGCAATAATTATTAGGAAGAGCCGGTTGATAAGAGTAAGCATTGGGGTGATTTGGAGGAAGAGGAAGAAGAGGAGGAGGAGGAGGAAGAAGAAGAAGAAGAGATGGAAGAAGAGGAACTTGAGGATGGCATTGAGTCTGTTGACAGTCTTTCAAGGTATCAAGTTACAATTTGTTTTTTTACTTTTTTTTTCAGTTAGGCCCTCTATTTGGTCCTATTAAGTATGGTCATTTGGGTTTATATATTAATCCTTCAATTTTTTTCATACAGTACACCAACTGGTGTTGAAACACCTGATGTTATTGACCTCCGTAAACAGCAGAGAAAGGAACCTGATAGGCCGCTCTACCAAGTAAGTATAGTTTTACTTGATAACTTGAAATTAACATAATGGTATTGCTGGTTTCAACCGGTAGGAGGTCTAGTACTGAAGTTTCCTACAGTAGAAATAGTACAAGTAGAAGTGTGAAACATTATTGGAATAAGTGAGGTATGTCATATGTGAATTGATCATGTATTCTTGTACTCCTGTTGATTCTTGTAGGGTTGATGGTAGAAATTAGTAAAATATGTGAGTTGCATGAAATGGCTAAAATGATCTTACAGACTTCTGCGAATTTATAGAGGAGAAAGGGGTAGGATTTGAATGTAGAATTTCAAAGGTAGAGTGGCACTTTAATTTTAAATTTGATTTCGAAGGTGGAGTTGGCTATTAGATTAACTGAAGGCACCAATGACAGGCACCAGCCGGCTCAATAGTTAACAGAGCTTTTGCTACTTATGACCTAACATGGTTGTTTCATGTGCTCCTTTGTCGACAGGTTCTCGAACAAAAGGAAGAGAGTATTGCTGCTGGAACGTTACTTGGCACAACTCATACGTATGCTTTTGTTTGTTTCCTCTCTGTAACCCTAATTTGAAAACTGTATAGTCCTTGGTGATTTCTGAGTCTCGTATTTGGATATGGCTGCAGGTATGCAATTCCTAGCGGTACTACCCAGGATAAGAGTGCTGCTAAAAGGGTGAGAATTTTATTACCGGATGGATTGTGCCCGAAATCCACGAGTCAATGAGTTGTTTTAAATTAATTGTGTGGCTCACCAAAAAAAAATGATTGCACTATCTATCCATTTTACCATGTTATCCTCAACATCAAGAGGAAATTATTCAAAAATTATGGCACTCAAATACTGCCCCTGTTTAATTATGGGCCAACTTCAAATCCACATACCCAATTTTTTACAAAAATCAGTAGACCAAGCAATGGTTTCCAGTGTTATTTCCAAAAAAAATACATTATTTTGAAATCTATTAACTCAATAATAGCTAAAAATTAATCAATTTACCAGCCGTTAAGATTATCGGTCTTCAAGTTTTCAGTTAACTTTTTGTTTTTATCACAGGTGGATCTGATTAGGGGAAACAAGGCTGCTGATAGAGTGGAGGTTAGTTTGCAGCCTGAAGAGTTGGAAGTCATGGACAATGTTCTATCTGCCAAGTAAGATGTCATTTTTTTGATTTCAATACTGTATGATCCTCGTCACTGGGGTTTAATGCATTAGTTAACAAGGGTGGGTTGATTGGATTTTCAGGTACGAGGAAGCCAGGGAAGAGGAGAAATTGCGGAGTCAAAAAGAGGACTTCAGTGACATGGTTGCAGAGGTTTGTTTCCATATTATTCGCTCATTTGACCTAGTAGAGCTGTTTGAAACTCGTTAGCTGGCACTAGACAGAGAAATGACTGGGAAATTCAATTCCTGTTGGTGCAGAATGAAAAGAAAAGGAAGCGCAAAATGCAGGACAAGGAAGGAAAATCGAAGAAGAAAGACTTCAAGTTCTGAGGAGGTAGACATGCGAATTGAACCACTGTTAATGTTCTACTACCTGACACTAATAACAAATTCGAGCTTTTGAGTCCTTGTGCACTGTGTATTGTTTTATCGACACGACGAGATAGTTCTTGCTAATTAGGGCACGGAGCGGCTGGCTGAAAGAGCGAATGTTTAATGCAAAGTCTTCAGGTAGAGATGAAAAGGTGTGCTTATTCACAGTGTAACAAGAGCATTGATTTCTTGGGCTAGATAAAGATCTGTAACCTACATCTTCCCCTGTTTTGTGCAACTTTGTTTGTATGAACAAGGAGATTGCATTGATATATATTATTATAAAGTGAACGTCTTCTGTTGGGAAGCCCTTTGTTCCACCGAGGTGGAAACTTGATCCCTTGGATCAACAAGAAGTTATGGGCTATGAAATTGTATATTGAATTGTGTGTGAGCCAAGTTACTTTCCTCCCAAGCCTGGTTGTCCTTCTTCCTCTTCCCTTTGCGGCATGGCCCCTTCTTTCCTTCTTCTCTGGGCCTGAAGCGCCTAACATCCTGCACACAAGGAGCCTAGTGGACCTGAGTGGTCCGTTAGTACTCCAACGCTCAAATAAGACATTTGCGCTAGAGAGAGAAGTAAGAAAAGTTTAGAAAGAAAAGTTCCAATATGAGTAAATGAGGTTCACCAACTCTCATATTTATATCCGAAGCTTCTTCGACCATTTATCCACCCCCCCCCCCCCCCAATCCGCCTCACGTCACTATTACATTAAATGCACTGTACTTTCACATTGCCAGGCGCCTCGACCACCTGACACGACGTTCAGATGTTCGAGGCGCATGACCTCATTTGCTGCGCCCACCATACGCTTTCGCCACTGTACTTTCACATTGCCAGGCGCCTCGACCACCTGACACGACGTTCAGATGTTCGAGGCGCATGACCTCATTTGCTGCGCCCACCATACGCTTTCGCCCGTTATGTTTTTTTGTCCTTAAGCGTTTTGTGTCAGAATCTTATCACACTCCTTTAGCCAACCTTTTTCCCCCATTGAACCAGGTTTTCCCACTGTTGGGCCTATACTTCAAACCAAGTTTTGCCCTTTGAGCCTCTTTATTGAGCCTTTTCATGGCCCAACAAATTGTATTTCGTCTTATTGTTATCAAGTGAATGTCTTCTTTGGGGAAGCCCTTTGTCATATTGAGGTGAAAACTCCATGCCTCAGGACCAGTGAGGTGCAAACTCGGTATTTTACTGCAAGGCTTTTCTTCGAGAAGCTGCGGCTGAGTTGAGGAGAGTTTCTCAAATGTGTATTAAGTTATAGGTGTGTCAGAGTGGTGGAGGGGTGTTCTATCTATTGAAGTTAGAGGCGGCAAATGGATTCGATTCATGAATCATAAATTAGTTCATGTATTCAAATGACATTCAAGTTTGGACTAATATGTTAATTTTGGGACGACGTGTGGCTGTTTGACGGACCTCCCCTGGACGATTTTGCTAGCAATCTACCAGCGGAGGCGAGGAAGTTGAAGGTGGCAGAGCTTGTGCTCAACGGGCAGTGGAACTTGGATTTTGTGCGGGCATTCCTGCCGGAGGAAGTTGTCTCGCAGCTTCAACTCCACCCTACGCCGCACGAGGATGGTCACGATCTACCATGCTGGCGTCTATCCCCGTCTGGCGAGTTCTCAATCAGCACAGCTTATCACTTACTCGTGACGGGGAGGGAATGAGTGCCACTTGTCCGCTTTGGAAACAAGTTTGGAGGATCCCGGGGCCTCAGCGTATTCGGTCGTTCTTCTGGCTCGCCATTCAGGAGAAGCTGCTTATCAACGCCAAGCGAAAAACGCGGCACCTGTCGCAAGTTGATAATTGCCCGATATGTGGAGCAGGGCCGGAAACAACGCTTCATGTTATACGGGATTGTACGTATGCCCGGACGCGTGGTCACAGGTACTGGGAGATGAGCCGGATAGGTTTTTTTTGAAGAGGACTTAAAGAAATGGGCGACGCATTATCTTGCGGGTCGTAGTGAAATCATCAAGCCGCCTCTGTTTGCAATTTTCTGCTGGAAGCTGTGGAAGAATCGGAACTGTCAAGTCTTTGAGAAGGTGTTGTTGCCGTTCAGTGTGATAGCTCGTCAGGTGCAGGAGTATTGTCATCAAATTGAACTGGCCTTGTCACGATCGGCGTTTATATTGCAGAATGAAAGAAGACGACGTCGTAGTTCCCCCAGAAGCAAGTAAGGAGCTGGGTAGAGACGACAACGTTTTACTTAGCATCTTTTCAGTTTTCCATTTTTACTGTACAGCTAGGTGTCTTCCTTAGATTGGTTGGTAGTTTTGTTTTCTGTTTGTTACCGTTGTATAGCTGTATAGGGTGAATTTCTTCCCTTCGTGAAGAAGGAGTTGTAGATGCTGAGTATATATGGAAAGGCCTTGAGCCACATAGGACCCTGCGGGTTCCTTTACAATATTCTGGGTCTGGATTTCACATGGTATCAGAGCCTGGTTACCAAAACTAGGGTTTTCAGACTCAGCAATCCCGCATTCTTCTTCTTGAGAATTTTTCTTTTTGATTCTCGTTTTCTTAATCAATGTCGACGGAGGCAGCCTCAGCTATGTCGTCATCGACGTCGACTGTTGCTTCGATTCCTATCAACACAGTCACAAACCCCTTCTATATCAACCCAAATGAAGCCTTGAGTTTTCCTATCAAACTTACAGGCACAGCCAACTACAATTTATGGAGTAGAACAGTTCGAGTTGCTCTGAAAAGCAAAAACAAGCTTGGGTTCATCACAGGGGCGATTCCCGTTCCAGATCTGACGCACGAAAGCTACCAAGCTTGGGAGCAGAGTAACACAGCAGTCTACTTCATGATTCTTGGGTCTTTGGATCCTAGCCTGGTCAACAGTGTCTCTTCACAAGACAATGCCAAGCTTCTTTGGGATGATTTGAGGCAGAGGTATGGACAGGCAGATAACATTCGCATCAGTGATCTTCAGACTGCTGTCTACACTCTGAAGCAAGGTAACAAATCAGTGAACCAGTTCTATTCTGAATTGAAAGGACATTGGGAAGAATTAGTCCAATTTTTACCAATTCCAGAATGTATGTGTGGTGAAGAACCTAGAAATAGGGCTGTTCCTTGTGTGACTGAGACTACAGTTAGGAAATATAGGGAGAATGAGTTTGTGACTAGATTCATTACTGGATTGAATGAATCGTATGGGGGAGTCAAAACTAATCTCCTTATGATGATTCCACTGCCGGCCATGGAAACTGCTTTCCACTATGCCATTCAACATGAGAGGCAACTTGGCAAGCCAAGTCAGGACTCTCAAGTGGAATCTGTTGCTTTGTTGGCTGCAAATCAATCAAGAGGAAAAGAGAATGTTAAGGGCAGTCAGGGTACCCTATTTTGTAGATACTGCAAAAAGGATAACCATGTTATTGCAGACTGTTTCAAGCTGAAGAGAAAGAACAAGGAGTCTGGGTCTACTTCTGGTTTTGCAGGACAGGTCCAAAGCATTGATAATGCTGGGAATGATGCAGGAGGAAATCAGTCAAAACCAGAAACTAGATCTATGTCTGAGACAAGGGATGGGGGTTTTACTAATGTGAGACTTTCGAATGAAGATTTGAGTAGACTGCAGAGAATTCTGAACCAATTTGGGTCACCAAGTCCACCCACATCTCCTGGATCAACTAATCCAAACTTGACAGCATCTCAACAGCATCAGTCACCCATGGTTAATTCTGTTAGCAGACATCTATCAGTGAATCCCAATTTTGCAGGTAAATACACTCTTACTTCATATTTCCAGCAGCATCCTTTGGAACTAGTGAATGTGTGGTTCTTAGATACAGGGGCTACAGATCATGTAACTTGTTCCAAGTCTAGTTTCATTAGGTGTTTTCCCATTCAGAATGTGTTTATAACCTTACCTAATGGGACCAAAACACCTGCCACTCATTCTGGAACAGTTAGACTTACTCCAAATCTTGTCATTCACAAAGTTCTTCTTGTGCCAACTTTTTCATTCAACCTGATCTCAGTTAGTAAACTGACTCATTCCCTACCAGTTACACTCACTTTCAAATCCACCATTTGTTCTATCCAGGACCTTCTAACATTGAAGACGATTGGTTTTGCCCAAGAGAGTAGGGGTCTTTACCAGCTCATTCCCACTACCACAGAAGATCAACCTGTTCATATCAATTCTATCAAGACTCAAAATTTCACACCTCAATCTTTTGATCTTTGGCACTGGCGGCTTGGACACCCTTCTGAAGTCAGAGCTAAAGAGCTAAAGAAAACTGTTCCTAGTATAGATGTTACTTCTGTTCATCACTGTGATGTTTGTCCTCTTTCTAAACAGAAACGTCTTTCTTTTTCTTCAAGCCAATCTATGGCAAAGGATGTTTTAGAGCTTATACATACTGACATTTGGGGGCCTTTAGCTGTTTCTAGCTACAATGGATTTTCTTATTTCCTTACCATTGTAGATGACAAGTCTAGATGTGTTTGGACATATCTTATGAAATACAAAAGTGAAGCCAGAAAATTGTTGCAAGACTTCTGTGTGATGATTCAAACTCAGTTTGAGAAAACCATTAAAGTCATTAGATCTGACCAAGGGGCAGAATTCCATATGCCTGATTTCTATTCAAAATTTGGAATTGTACACCAGCTTTCTTGTGTTGAAACTCCACAGCAGAATGCTAGAGTGGAGAGAAAACACCAACACATCTTGAATGTAGCTAGATCCCTCAAATTCCAATCTGGCCTTCCTCTAAAATTCTGGTCAGATTTTATCCTACATGTTGTCTACTTGATAAACAGATTACCTACTGTTGCTGTTGGTAACAAAACACCTTATGAAGTCTTATATGGACACCCTCCTGATCTGTCCAATTTAAAGGTGTTTGGCTGTTTATGTTATGCCAGCACTTTGAGCCATAACAGAACAAAATTTCTTCCTAGAGCCAAACCTTGTGTTTTCCTAGGATTCCCTCCAGCAGTTAAAGGGTATAAATTATTTGATCTACTAGATCAGAAAGTTTTTCTTTCTAGGGATGTGATATTCCATGAGAATATTATACCTTGTTTACCTCTTCCTACCAGTGAATTACCACCATCATCACCTATACCTCAAGTCCCACTTCAATCTTCTGAGTTACCACCAGATACTTTTCCTTCACAACCTCATCCTATGGATCTAGGAACAACACAACCACAAGTTGTTTCCAATTCCCCACCTGTTATTCCCTCTTCTCCAGTTCAAAACATGAATACTTCCTCCCCATCTTCTTCTTCCTCCACCAACATACATACCCCATCTGATCCTATAGACTCACCTATTTCTGTTTCACAATCCCCCCAAAATACTTCTTTGCCTATTGCTGTTAGGAAACCAACCAGACAAATTGTTAAACCTCTCAAGTACAATGACTATGTTCTGAATTTAGGAACCACACATGTCAAAGCTATATATCCTTTGGTTGCTTGCTTGTCATATGATAACCTGTCTCCAGGATATAAGAAATATGTGCTGGCTCTGGAATCTACACATATTCCTGCAAACTTTGAGGAAGCAGTTCAGATTGAGGCATGGAAGAAAGCTATGGATGTGGAAATCGAAGCTCAGGAAGCCAACAGAACGTGGGACATTGTCCCCAGACCACTTAACAAGAGAGTCATAGGGAATAGATGGGTGTATGCCATTAAGTTTCTGTCTGATGGAGAAATTGAAAGACACAAAGCCAGGCTGGTGGCTAAAGGGTTTACACAAATCTATGGAATTGATTTCCTAGATACCTACTCACCAGTAGCCAAGTTAAACTCAGTCAAGACCCTTTTGGCTGTTGCAGCAGCTAAGAATTGGCAGATGATACAGTTAGATGTTAGCAATGCTTTTCTGAATGGGGACCTTGAGGAAGATGTATACATGGAACTGCCTCCTGGAATCAACAAACCAGGTTATGTATGCAAGTTAAGGAAGTCCCTTTATGGCCTCAAGCAAGCATCTAGGCAATGGTTTGCCAAGCTTACATCAGTGCTACTGTCCTTTGGGTATATCCAATCTGCAAATGATTACTCAATGTTTTCTCATCGTTCATCCTCTGGTATTTCAGTTCTCTTGGTCTATGTAGATGATATAATCATTGCAGGGGATGATACAGTGAGCATGCAGGCTTTGAAACAACATTTGAGCAGTCAATTTAAGTTAAGGGATCTTGGCCATCTCCATTATTTCCTTGGTTTAGAGATGGCTAGATCCAGGGAGGGTATTCACATATGCCAAAAGAAATACTGCACTGACCTTTTGAAAGACACAGGATTTGCAGATTCTAAACCTGTTGCCACACCAATAGACATGAAGACCAGATTATCAGCAGATGATGGACCTCTTATGGAGGATCCCACAGCTTACAGAAAGATAATTGGTCGATTGCATTATTTGACAATTACTCGACCTGAGATTACATTTGCAGTTCAACAGTTATGTCAGTATCAAGCTGCTCCTACAACTACACATTTACAGCTTGCATACAGAGTTCTGAAATATCTTAAAAATGCTCCTGGCCAAGGTCTTTTCTATCCATCTTCTTCTGATCTAAAGCTAAGGGGATATAGTGATTCAGATTGGGCTTCATGTCCTGACACCAGGAAGTCAACAACTGGTTATTGCATCACATTTGGATCTTCTCTGATCATATGGAAATCGAAGAAACAAGGGACAGTTTCCAGATCATCATCCGAAGCAGAATACAGGGCTCTGGCTCAACTTACATGTGAGGTGGTCTGGGTAAAGAGATTACTGCAAGAACTAGGAATTGAACATCCACAACCAGTGAATCTCTTTTGTGACAATCGATCTGCGATTTACATTGCAGAAAATCCAGTGTTTCATGAAAGAACGAAACACATCGAGATCGATTGTCACATTGTCCGGCAATTCCTCCAATCCAAGCTGATTGGACTGAGTCATCTTGAAACCGAGCATCAAATTGCTGACTTATTTACAAAGGGGCTGAGTCGATTCAGGTTGGATTTCTTGCTATCCAAGCTGAACATACAGAATCCGTATGCTTCAGCTTGAGGGAGGGTATTGCAGAATGAAAGAAGACGACGTCGTAGTTCCCCCAGAAGCAAGTAAGGAGCTGGGTAGAGACGACAACGTTTTACTTAGCATCTTTTCAGTTTTCCATTTTTACTGTACAGCTAGGTGTCTTCCTTAGATTGGTTGGTAGTTTTGTTTTCTGTTTGTTACCGTTGTATAGCTGTATAGGGTGAATTTCTTCCCTTCGTGAAGAAGGAGTTGTAGATGCTGAGTATATATGGAAAGGCCTTGAGCCACATAGGACCCTGCGGGTTCCTTTACAATATTCTGGGTCTGGATTTCACAGTTTATGCGGGAGAGGAGTACGCCATCTCGGTCTGTTAAACTTCTGAGCTGGCGGAAGCCACCAGGGGTTGGGTTTGCCTAAACACGGATGGATCGGTAGTGGGCGGGATGAGGATCACGGCGGCAGGTGGTGTATTCCGCAGTGACGAGGGTCATTTCATGAAGGCCTTTGCAGTTAATTTGGGTAGAGGAGATACTGTGTTATGGGCGGTAAGGTTCTGGGATGATGCTTCTATAAAGTGTAAACTTGGTAAGCTACTATGGAGTATGGTGATGAGTTATGTATGGAGGGAAAGATGTAAAAGGTGTTATGGCACAGGTTTGCAGCATCCCCCCAGATGGTGACTCGGATTCGATCTGAAGCTGGTTTTTTTATTAGTAGTAGAATTGATACGCAGATGGCTCTTCCTAGTTTTCACTAGTATAGCTCTTCTTGTTTTCGGTTCTTTTAGTTTGATGGTTTTTGTATTCAGTACACTTTGTATTTTGGAGAGGGATCCTTAGTTACAAGGATCCTAGAGCTTAATGCAATTTTGATTAACCATAAAAAAAAAAAAAATTGGGTAAAGGTTCCGTCACTCACGCGGAACTGGCAGGGATAGTCCAGGGTCTTCGCCTGGCTTGGGAAGCAGGATACAGGAGGATTGAGTTGCGAACTGATTCATCTATGGCGATCAAGCTCATCCAGACGGCAGCGGATCACAACCGACATAGAGGCCTGATTGCGGCAGCAAGGCAGATGCTGAACTTAGATTGGGATGTCCGAATCACCTATGTTTTTCGAGAGGAGAACTTCGTAGCAGATTATTTGGCGTCGGTGGGTCATTCTTTGTCTTTAAGGATTCACGTCTTTGATAACCCCAGTCCTATGTTGAGTTATTGGCTGTACTGCGACAGCTTAGAGGTAGAAAACCCGAGATTGATTATTAGTTAAGGGTTAGAGCTTACATAAAAGAAAATAATCAAGTAGATTACTGGGGCAAAAGACCGGCTGCCGTAACCTGTCTAATTAGAAGGCATGTTACGTTTGATGAAGAGCAGAAATAGAAACTAAGATTGGGAGAATGCAGCTCCTCTCCTTGCTCCCTCACCCTGCAAAATTAGAATATAACTTGAAAGAAGTCGTGTGCGTTCCAGTTAGGATGATAATTTCGACCTGATCCGTTTTACCCGACTTGTTTGGCCTGTTTTAGAGTGGTTCCGACCCGTCCTGTAGGCGGGGCGGGGCAGACATGGGTACTCTCATCGACCCGACCTGCCCTGACCCGCCCCATTCTCGACCCGTTCTTGTCTAAATTACATGTAATTTTAGTCAAATTACTTAGAATTTTCCTTTTATTACATAATATTTTAGCTATAATAAAGTTATAAATTAGTGAAAACCTCAATTTCTCCAATAATTTAACTACATTTATCATAATATTGTTTGTTTTCTTGGTCTTATAATAAAAATAACGAATATTTCTAATGTTTTTCATGTAAATTGCATACACATTGGGTCGATCTGCACCGACCCGCGTCCCGTAATAAATTACCCACCTGTACCCGACCTGCCACGGGGAGGGTCTAAGTACCATGAAACCCGCCACAGACTTGTCCACAGTTGGAGAAGATAGTGAAGTATCACTTGTCAAGAACCAGTTGATTCCAATAACTCGAGTTATTGGGAGCAACTTGTTTTTGACATGGTATCAGAGCCTATAACCGAAAGGTCATGTGTTCAAATTTTGACGACCCCCAATATTAACCGTTGTCTTCCAAGCACATGGTATGATGGGCATGTGCAAACTTCAAGCCCATGGGTTGGCTTTCGTTTGAGGAGGCGTGTTAGAAAGTGGTATAAAATCCAGCATAATCTTCTCCCAACAACTTGAGTTACTGGGAGCAACTGGTTCTTGACATCACTAGGTGTAGATGATGCAACTGCAAAACTAGGTGCATAACTGCACACACTGTGTCGACTACTCTCAGAAAGGCACCTAGTTATAACAGGGAGCTTTTGCCCTCAGACACCGTGGCACAAGTCTGCAATTCAGCCTAGGGTTTAGAGTTTATCACACAGTTATAGAAAGACACATCAATGAAGTGGCAGAACTGAAAAAGAAGAAGGGATTGCTTCTGCATTGTCTGAAACTAATGATGTGCCAACAAGGGTCCAGATTGCCTTTACAACAAAATGCTGATATCAATCCAATACACTTGTACATGGAGAGTTAGCTTTGTTTTCAATAAAACAAATCTTAATCCTCCAAGATTAGCAAGTAAGCAAGCAAACGTGTATCATCAGCTCATGAAATATACTTTTCCTGCTGCTCTTGAAGTAGCTTCGCTGAGGACTTGGCGTCCAGATATAAGCTACATACTTCCTCGAGATCGGCCTACCAATATAACCAGCAAGCAAGTAAGCAGCAGTGAATCGGAAAAGTAAGAAATTATCCAGTGGAATTAAGAGTTTGCACTTTGCACTGGTTCATAAATGGGATGTTAGGCATCTACCGTGCAGATATTATCTCTACCATTCATCTTTGCTACAATGCTGGCGGGAGATAAGAGCTGAACAGAATGCCTGATGAAGAAACGTGGTTCACAAGTTAATTATACAAGAGGACGGAAGTTTTGAACTTACTATCCCATAGCTAGTAACAACTAGAACTGATATGTACAGAATCTAATTCAAGGAAAGAACTTATAGTACCAACCTTAAGGATGTCTGCTGACCGATCTCTCCGAGGAATGCTAGACTTTCTTCATCAACTACCAATTCCTCGACCTGTGCACGAATTGCCAATATCTAGCCAGACAACAAGATCATGTCAGTTGTTAGACGTGTTAACTTCTAGGGAAGGTTTTAAGCAAACAAAAGTGGGGAACTTGAGGAGAACCTGTATCATTTCTGCAGGGCCATAAATTTGTGTCCGTATAATCACCAAGCGGTCCAGCAAGTCAACAGGTATGCCATGTGGACTATTCATATCAGTGCCTCTGCAGAATAACATACAAAAAATCCAGTTTAAGAACAGGGACGTGCAGTTGGACTGTTATTTACAATGCAACACCTAGAGAAAGTGGAAGCGAAGAACAGATTGATTACCATGCTTACTAGCTTATCTGATACTTATTAAAACCTTTAACCTTAATTAAATTCTGACATTATATTTAAGTGAACGTGAGCTGAAAAGTGATTTTGTATCTAATTTACACATCTTACTCTACTGTGGTAGGGTAAAATTAATAGACATCAGCGATGATATAATGTTTTATAGTTAGAAGCCTGAAGATGATTCAAAACGCACCTTACATTACATATTCCTCTATTAGTTGCAAAGATAACTATAGGAGACAATGAGCTCTCTAAAGCCCGATTCATGTACGAGAAGCACTCCATATCCAGCATGTGCACCTGATAAATGGAATTTACAGGATGAGAAAAAGAATGAGATATAGTTATAAATTAGGTTGCAGAAGTGGTGGGAAAAGGACCTCATCAATGAACAGAACTCCAGGAACAAGTTCTGCCACACCTTCATCAATGTACCTATTAACAACCTGCCATAAAAAAAGAGAGCCTCTCTTGTGATAGTCCATTAATTATGTACAGTTGAAATCAGCCTAGCCAACTTATTCAGTTACACGATATTGGTGACCAAGTCAACTATAAATGCCATAATCAAAATAATTGATGTGATACACCTTGCATGATTATTTTATCACCACAGCAATGTGATTAGCTACAACAAAATACCTTATTTATTTCCTGGCGTAGCTTGTCTGTTATTTCGGTCTTTCTTGGCTTCATCATTTGCCCCATTAAAGATAATATATCTTGCCCACCTTGAGGCCTTGCATTAGCAGCATCTAGATCATGCAGTGTAACATCCTGATGGCAACAAAATTTATCCAGGTAAATACCAAACCTGGAAAATTGTCATGGAACTAACTAAAGATTAGAACAAAGGTATGACACCACAAGGTGCGCAAGCAACAAGCATAGTGCATTGCAATTTGAACTGGCTAGATTGGAGCATCAAAGTTCTGCAGCAAACTTGCAACCTCCAGTACTATCCTCAGTGTTGCAGGATTCTTACCATTAGGTTAAAGATGGTTTTATCTAGGAGCACACAATTAGAGCACAATATTTTCAAGAAAGCCAATCATATCAATTCGAAGAAAATACCACAGAAGTTATTAACGACTTGGTGGCCGAAAGGTATCTTTGGGATGACCACAAGCTATAGCCATAAGAGTCATGTACCTGAACTATCTCCTTCTTTTTGTGCACTTCACCTTTAGGAAGTGGGACGTACTCTTCAGCTTCAAGATCAAACTCTGTCGCAAAAGCATCACTTCTCCCCACTCTTTTCACTGCTCCGCTATTTGCTTCAATGTATATAACATCTCCCACAGCCACCTGTTCACAAAAATATATTGGCTACATCAGAGATAAAGCATGTGACATACAGACAGCAATAACAATTGAGGCTGTCGCCTATTTGGGGATTCCCTAACAAGATAAAACAACAGCCACGGATGATAAGCCATCAAGATGGTAAACTAAAACTGAATTTGAGAGCAACAAAAAAAAATTGTGGATAGCTAGAGGAGATGAGTTATATTTACCTTTTCCTTTATCAAGGCATCATAGATTGTGGGATCCAACTTCAGTTGCTTAGTCCCTTTAACAGTTTTCAAACCAATTATGACATGGCTAATGCTTTTTCCATAACCACCAGTCACACTTTCAGTTTCTTCTGGGGATAGTTCAGTGACCTGAAAGGTTCACAGTAAACATTGTAAATAAAGCATGAAAGAATGATATATATGATTAATGGGAAAGATATCATGGTGACTCAAACTTGCCTCTCCTTCATAAACCTCTTTATTTTCCTTGATACGCAAGCCAATGGCCCTACGAAAGTTTTCCATCAGAACTTCAGTTTTCTTCACTTCTGATGAGTAAACTTCTGATCCAACCATTGGACAGAATGGAACCTGGTCCCAACAGAAGAAACCAATCAGACGTTGCATAATGTACACAGAACTGGAACCAAGATATATAAACAGAGTAACCAAATGATACTTAAGGTACTGCCTTAGTGATGGAAATCAAGCATAATAAATCGGACGAGTCACAACATTGGTAGCATTTAGCAAGCATAAGCGGTAGATGAAGGGAAGCCAGAAGAGAGCTAACCTTGCTGCCAAGTTCCTGAGAAATGCCAAGGGCCAAAGCTGTCTTCCCGGTACCGGGAGGCCCAGCCATTAGAAGAGCCTTTCCGGCCATCTTCTTCTGTCTTATCATATCAACAACAAGGCCAGATGCTTCTCTGGCATCTGTCTGACCCACAAAGCCAGACGCCAAAGGAATTGCCTTTCCACTTGGCTGGAAGGAAAAAGTTCAGCTTTAAGGCCAGATAATCAACATGAAGAAGCGCTTAAACTAAAACCCTAGAGAATGTAAGGATTGAGAGGGAGGGAGGGGAAAAACCTCAAGGCCGAGGCCTTTTATGTGAGTGTGGGTGGCGATTCTCTGCTTCTTGGCTGTGCTCTGAACCTCTTCTATCTTCATTTTGTCCATAGCTTCTTCCGCCGGTTGACAAGCTTTTCGCCGTTGGAGAGATGGCGCGCCCGCCGTCTGTCTCAGGGGTTTTATGCTCTTTCTCTTGCTGCGGAAAAGTGAAAAGGAAACAATCACTTCTCCCGCTCCACTAGTCCAATACATCGGGCTGCTGGCCCGGCCCAGCCCAGCCCAGCCAATCTAAAGCCCAATGTTTGTTCTGTTTTTAATTTTTATGTCACTTTTTTTCTGGCAAAAGGAGAAAAGAAATAATTGTAACATTTCGAATTTTTTCTTGACGAAGATTTTGTTTGTGGGGCTTCGATCCTCACGGTTATCGACTTGAGGTGCAATTCAAGGTGACTTCACATAAGGTCACCCATTCTTGTTGTACAACACACAGAGCACGTTTAACTTCGGAGTTCTCACAGGAACTCCTTCATTTCATCCCAAAACGTGTCTTGTCAGTTAAGGTTGGTTTCTTACTTATGAAGCATAGATCTCTCCCGTACTTTTGTCGATGTGGGATTTTCCTAAGGTGTTACAGAAATAAGAGTGTTTCTTATGGGAATAAAGAAATATCGAGCCATCTGCAAAAATCAAATGCTTCTCAAACAATATTTACATCCACAGTTTATCTATCTTTGATAACAAAACATGTAGCAAAAACTATTTTGTACTCTAAACTGCTACCAATCCACATCCACAGTTCACCTATACTTCAATCTGGGACATACCCTCCACAATCCCCTGCTCCTGGGCATGGAGGAAAGTACTAAAGACCAGACAACTTGTTGAGCAACACCTTACAGTTAGATCAGCAGATGTTTACTGGGATGATGCTGTCATGATCAGATTCTCTGTCAAGAAGGTTTGGGATTCAATTCGAGCCAGAAATGAGAAAGCAAAGTGGTATTCGATTGTCTGGAAGTCTTATGGAAGCTACTTGTTTGGTTAGTCATACTAAACAGACTTGCAACCCTGGATAAGGTACAAAAATGGAACTCCTCTATAGTAAATATTTGTTCACTCTGTTCTTCTGCAGCAGAGTCCAGGGACCACTTGTTTTTTTAGTGCTCCTACTCTAGGAACATTATTCTATCAGTGTTTAAGTCACATTCTCTAGTGGGAGCGAGCTGGGAAGACTCATTAGAGGTTGCTATTACACAATTCAGGTTCAGTAATCAGGTTTCTGATAGAGGAAGGTTATTCTGGGTCTTGATAGTTTCTAAAATTTGGAGAGAAGGATGCAGAAGAGTGATGGCAGGAGAATCATTCACTGAAGTCCAGTTCTTGAAGAAGGTGCTGAGTCTGTTACATTTGCTAAGGCAAGGCAACCCCCAGATTGCTTTAGCCGTTTCAGAAGAAGACATAGATAGCATAGTATAGTCTTTTGTCTGTAATTCATTGTTTGTTACTGTAGCTGGAAATAGTGTGTGATGGATTCTGTAAGAATCAAAGGTTTTGAGGTTCCAGTTAGGGTGGCTTTCTCAGCCATCCTTTCTTGATGTTTAAAACAAGCTTATTCATAAATAAAAAATCCAAGTCCCATGTCTCAAACTCCTACTATAGCATCGGATCGACAATCACTCGACTCGTGATTTCAACTCGCGCTACTAACCAACCTCTAAAAGAGGAGAGACAGGCTTTGACTCAAATCAGTCATCCACTGCTGAAGACACCAAGTAATTAAGTCCTTCCAATCCAACAGTTGTGGTGGAGCATGTGACTTCAAGCAAATATTCAATATAATAGTAACATAAGACCATTGGACCAACAAGTGAACTATATCTTCAACTCCCACAAGCATAGTAAACACATACCCGAGACAAACTTCTCCCAAGCTACCAATTTGTCTTGAGTAGTATGTTTGTTCTGTAGTGCTAACCAGATAATGAATCCATGGCGAGGAATGATTTCTATGCTCCAAATCAGCTTAGCCAAGGCCACTTCAGGACATTGTTGTCTGATGGTTTGCCAAACTATACCTCTACATTTCCAATAGCTCCTTTCCAAAAGTCATTAGGAGCCGCTCCAGATATATATTGAGCAACTATACCTCTACATTTTAGTAGTCTTTTCCAAATCTAGATACCTGCAAAGCTAGGAGTTAAATCCTAAATAGTCTTCTTCTTCAAACGATATCTATCCACTCATATAGGGCTAAAGTTTGGTATATTCATTTGGGATATACCGAATATCGTACCGAATTTGTCTATATTTGGTATTACCGAATGCACATATTATTTCTTGGGATTGAGATTGAGATTGAATTTCAATTGTAATTCGGTATTATGAATTATGGGATTGGGATCGGGATCGGTATATACCGAAATACCGATCAATACCAAAATATAAGCTAGTGTGTATTTTATCCTCTCAACTAGACTCTCTCATTCACTACTACACGACCCTCAACCACCAAGAGTGTCATTTTATTATACATAGATCATTCCATCTTTGTTTCACAACTCAGAAGTCCCCATCCAACTCAATTTTGACTTCCCAATTTAAGTCACTCTCATCTCTCACTTGTTATTTTCATAACACCAAAAAGCAAACACTAATATAGTCGTCTCTCAGCCTCCAATTCTTCAAATTAAAGATTACCAATGACAAGAACTTGAGATGTCACCTCTCCTTCATTCTCCTTATCTATATCCTAGCTCTACGCAAACTCAAGACTCTTTGCTTAGTGATAACGATGTAATTGCACATGTTTGCACTCCTAGTTCTTATCCATTTGTGGGGTGTAGTCGTGTATTTTTGGCCTATTTTACGTTGGGTTGTGCTACTTTGTCATATTTCAGGTCCCAGTCGTCGAAGGAAAGGCCAAGCACGAGTTTCGGGGCATTCGGAAGTCATTCGGCCGAGCTGGAGCCAAAGCACAGGCGCGCCTAAATCAGAGCACGGCCGTGTTCCTGGACTGTGTTTTTACTGCCGAGGCTTGATCCAAGATTGTCCTGCGATGGCCAAAACACAGGCGGGACTGACTCAAAACACGATCGTGTCCAACATTAGGCACGACCGTGTTTTGCCCAAGGTGCGGCCGTGTTTTTAACACGTGGCAAGGGCACGGGCGGGCAGCAACAAAGCACGGACGTGCCCTCGACCGTGTTTTGCCCAGGGTTGCACTTTTAGGCAGATTTGAGCAAAAAGAGAAGGAGTTCCGAGTTTTAGAGAGACAGAGCGATTCCTAGAGAGATAAAGTGACGAACCAGAGTTCCCAATTGCCCTAGCTTGATCTTCATCACCATTGGAGCCCGGCTTGATCTTGGAGAAGTGCCTATTGACGACCAGGAGCAGAAACCCATCCTTCACAGTATGGTTTCCGCATCTGAATCTGCTTTTGCTTCTCTCTCCATGGAGTAGTTTTCTTATTAATCTGGGTATGGAGAACCCTAGATTTGTATGTTAGGTCTGATTGTATGACCCAAGTATAGATTCTATGATTTGATTATATTCAATTGAGGTTTGAATGATTGAATGACATGAATCCTGATCAAATTCCTGTTATTTCTGCTTTGACCTAGAAAGAGAATATCTGCCTAGGTTGATAAAGCACCCTTAATTGAAAGTGGTGAATTGGCGACTTTAGTCGAGGAGCCAATTCACTATTCTGTACCAAATTTACTTCGGTAGTGGAGGTTTAGTTCGTTAGGGCCTCAATCTGATTACTCCGGTGGAGGTTAGTCGCCCGCTGGGGACTCAGATTGAGAGGGTCTGGAGACCTTTAGTCGAGACTTCAGACTGCTTAAGAACCTCCCACAGTATAACTATCATTAAAACTGAACTTGGTAAATTACAATCCGGCTTAACTGCAGTCTAGCGGGAACCATATCCGGGTGACCTCTCTCGACTTGAAAGCAACCGTTTAATTGCTTGCTTTACTTGTTTGCTTGTTTGAACTTGCACTAAAGTTTCACCGCTAGATAATAAGAATTCATTGAGTAGTCATCACATCTAGGACCCGGGTTGACATTAAAACCCAAACTTGCTATACTACGCTTTAGGAAGTGGTTACACTTGGCCATTTTCTAGAGTGACAGTAGGAGTGAGTCACTTAATCTCTTTGCCCAAAATTAAACAATCAATTCTAATTTATAAATTTAATACTAATTTCAAATGTAATTAATTTCGTATTCGATAATAACGATTGGGATACTGAATATTTAGGGATTGAGGGTGAAATTAATTTTCGGGTGTAATTCAGTATTCGAGATTTCGGTATTTGTTAATTATTATTGGTGACCTACATTGTTTGTTATTGGGATACCGATAATGTACCAATTTCCACCCCTACAACCATGCCACCCAGAGTAATCCTCCTCCAATTAGTATATCCAATAAGTGCCTAGAAGATATGTCTTGTTCCATATACTGAAGTTACTTATTCCAAGGCTACTCTCTGCTTTGGGTTTTGCTAGAAATTTCCAAGCCATTAATGCCCTTTTCCTCTTTCCACCTTTCTAGAGTTCCAAAGAAATTCATATCAGAGCTTCTCTACTTCATTAATCACACAATAGGCAACAACAATAGGTTTAACCAATACTGCAAGGTACTGAAAAACACAGTGGAATTCTATCAATGAGCACTTGACAGTCTTTCCTTGCGAGCTTACCAGTGATTAATGGGATACCAAGGTACCTCACAAGTCACAAGTAGATTACCTAAGGGGGAATTCGATATACTCAGATATTGTTAACTTCTTTGTTAGAGGTATCCCTACCAAAATAGTTGACACTTGATAGGATTGCACTTCAACCCAAATAGAGCATAAAACTGATCCATTAACCTTTCGACTAGGGCTGGGAAACGGTGCGGTCTGGTCCAGATCAGACCATATATACGGTCTATGGTCCAGACCGAGAGGCTAAAGTATAGACCACAAACCAGACCACAGACTATACGGTCTGGTCCAGACCACGCCTGTGCGGTCTGGTTCGGTCTGGTCTGGTCACATAGACCACACTCAACGAAAAATGAATAATTCGTTTAGTCAACCACACAAAAAATTAAACCAATAACCAGGAAAAATAATTGTTATTTGCCTTAAATCATTAATCCTAACATGCATGAATAATTTTGATACTCTAAATCTTAGTACATAACAAAGATACAAAGTAAAAGCATCCCAACTTGCACCATAACGTCATAAACATTAACATAATGTCATATGGAGACACGATTATCTCTACTCTCTGGTTAGATGTGGTTGTGAATGAAGGAGGGACGAGATTCACAAAACTAAGATTCAGACTTGGGTGTCGTTGTCGGAGTTGGGAGAGTGGTCGAATGGGCTGTTAACACGTATTGACAAGTCAGTTGTCCACGGTTTGGTCCGGTAAACCGCGGTCTAGACCAGACCAGACCAAGAGATCAAAACATAAGATAATACAGACCATAGACCAGACTAGACCATACTTAACGGTCTACGATCTGGACCAAACTGTACGGTACGATTTGGACCACGATTTTTCTAACGGCCTGGTCTATTTTCCCCGCCCTACTTTCGACCCTCGCTACACCTCGAATTGGTCCATTTGTAAACGCATGTGAAGTTTTGTATTTGCATGTTTCCTCTTCTTTTGCATTAAATTTTTTTGAAAATCCTTAGGGAATGGAATAACCTATGTAGAATTTGATATGGATCCCACACGCCCGGGCTCATAGGGCACCTAGGTTTTTGGGTATTGGTCCGTCACCCATAACAGAAAACTATTAGACGACAGCAGCCCGAGCCCACTGGTTCATGGCCCAGTTAAGTATTGTCGACGATGACCCGGATTCCGACGCTCGTATTTCCATCGCTGATGCCGGACCCTCCGACGGCAACCTCGCATCCTACAGCTGCGAACTTCAGGCAGAGAACGGGAAATCAGTAAGGAAGGAGAGCTTCGCCTCGTCTGGTCATTAGCTCGTCAAGGTAATCAACGCTTCAATTTGATTCCGACAATCCAAAATTTGCTTTCGTTTTACGGACTTGGGGTTTCCCCCAACTCTATTTGCTTTCAATTATGATCGGGAAGAGTGGTACTCTTTCTTTGGAATTCGACCGCTGTTCCAGTACTTGGACCGGAAGTTCCATGTTTTTGCTTCGTTTCATTGTGTATTTTGGGATTGCTTTGAGATTCAAATTTGCATAACCACAAGGTGTTCGACGAAATACCTTAACTAAGCCGAGTTTAAGATTTAGTTGTGGTTCGAGAAGAGCTCTTTTTTATTGTGAAGTATGTTTATTCAGGGAGGGGAATTGAACTGAATTAGTCGAACAAGTGAATACGAATGGCTGAAGTAAGCTTGGGGATTCTCATTGATATTGTGGACGACGAGTGGATGAGAGATACTCTGCCTGACGATGGTAAGCATCATCTCCGCAACACATATACTCCATTTCTTACTACACAATATTATCAAACAGTTACTTTGTGGGCTGTGGCTTTCTCCTGTAGCATTCTCTCCCTCTTGGAGCTTGCTGATTCATTAGTATGTAAAAACACCTTTTATGATGATGCAGATCTCCCGTTACCTCCTGTTCTGGTTGTCCGCACCGATGAGGCTGAAGAATCAAGTATGTCCTCTCCACCTTCAACCAAACTTCAATACCCTCCTTGCTCTATGCCTAATGTTGCTTGTTTCGTTTAAGAAATGAAAACACCAATGAAAGTAGTTGAAAAATAGGTTTTGCTCTTTGATCTTATGCTACAAACATGGGAAATCAGGAGCATTGAAAACCTTCATACCATTTCTGTTCTTCGCCCTTTGTCGGTTAAAACTTAAAACCAGTCACACCACCTTAGTTTGCACTTTAAGTCTTCTTCCCTCCATTCCAATCCTGCTATGTTCTGGTCCATCAAATATGATGACTGTTTCTACCCAAAAAAAAAAAAAATTGACGACTGTCGAGCAGCTATGTTACGAAGGAATAAAATGTTGCTGTGCTTTGGTGTGTTCGTTTATCTCCATCATTTGCTTTTGGCAGATCATGAGCCTCAGCCGGTCGAGCAAGATACCTGGCATGACCTTGCCCTAGGTAGTCAATGAACCCTGAAGTCACTTACTTTGGTACGGTTGGCCATATGCGCATTTGGTTTTATGTAATTGGAGAGTGAGATCGTTCCTATTGTAAGCCCTATGCAGAAGAGGATTCATGAATTGAACTGAAACATGGCATTTGATTCCATCAAACAGGTTCATTTCCATCCATGTCTGGAGTATGTCAAGAACTTTGTTTCTTCCTTGGTGTTGATATCTAGCATGTGCATTTTGCATGTCTTTTTGCTGTTGGACTAGCTCCCTTGACCAGCTTAGCTGCAACAGTTGGCTGTAGAGGAATTTCAGAAGATCCCAACATGAATACAATGACCAAAATCTGTTCATAGTCTGACCCTCTTGACTAAACTTGACCTGACATGGGTGGGTGGGGAAGAGCAGAGCAGGCGACTAGGGTTGTATAATAATTTTAAAGAGCTATTATCCTATTGCATGTCATTCTTGTTGTTTGAAATTGTTGGGTTGTTCTTCTATTGTGGTTTGAGTACGGAGTATTATGTGGATTAGGTGATTGCTTCCATCTGACTTAACCTTTTCTCCATAACAGCTTTTGGGATAATGTAAAATTTTATTCTCCGCAAAGGAGGGTGGACAAACGGATACACCAAAGAGCATGTGTGAGAGAGAGCATGTAGGGCACAGAAACTGGTTTAATTCGGAAAGGTATTTTGGACAATATTTTGAATATAGTATCTCGATCTCGAATTGAAAAAAATTAGTAGCTCTAAGTCTCTAACTCCCCTTGGAAAAAAATAAATTACATGGGAGCTTGACTCGGACTTCAAACCGGGTTTTAACTTATTTTGAATATAGTAGCTCGAACTCGACTTGATAAGTAAGTTTAATTAGTTAAATTTGAGCTTAACTCATTACAACTACTCTCCAACTTAAGACTGAGGTCAAATTTTAATTCTAAACCTACTTCCTAAATATCCATAGTAACACAAATGCAAAAGTACATTCAAGAACACCCAATCCATTTCAATTTACATTATCACAACACCATAACCGTTCACTCGGGAGATGGTGTTTGATATTTTGACAAATCATTGAAAGCACAAACTCGTCTCATTAATAAACGAGTTAGTTTGCAAGCCAAACGAGAAAAGAGCAAAATGTATTAAACTCAACTCATATGTAATAGATTAAGTTCACGAGTTTTTTCTTCTTCACAACGAGTTGAATGTGGCAGACGAGTTTTTCTCGAGTCTAGTGTCCAGACACTCATGATCAACTTGACCTTACACTTGAGTGTAGTAGCGAAGTTATCATGCTGGATAAACAAGCCCAGTATGCAAAAAAAAAAAAAAAAAAAAAAAAAAGAGGGGGAAAAAAGCCTTATTGGATTTAGACTTTAGACTCGAGACTGTTGGGTGTTGATGCCTCCCTGAAGAATTTGCAACGGCGCCGTTTTGAAACAAAGCATAACAACTCTACTTAACGACGACGTTTTGGAATCGTCCTTCAAAGTCTCACCACAAACCTAGCCACTGCGCAAACTCCTCGTGCAGAGATCTCCATTTTCGATTCTCTCTCTGGCAATAGAGACATCTTCCTCGAAGCTTGCCTTCCTCGAGCCTGCTTCTCTCGTCCTTCTCCAAGATCGTCACCGCCTCTACAAAAGCTAATAATGATCACTGTCATGATCATCATCCTTAGCAAACGGTCATTTCCTTTCCTCGTATAAATAATGTATTTGATCTAACATTACAATTTGGCAGACTGTAGAAAGAGAGTTGATAGAGAGTCTCTTCTATCGTCAGTGGCGGAGCCAGAAAATTGGCTAAGGGGGTGCTTTTTCATGTCATGAAAAAGTCAACTATGTAATAGAAAAGTCAACTCTAAACGAAAATATGAAAATCAACTTCATTATATGACTAATTCAGTCTATGTACTTAATTTGGAGATGAAATTGAGTATAACAAACACACAAACCTAACCCTAAATTAACACAAATAATAAAATTTTCAAGTAATTGAAATTAAAACTTAGATTTTACCTTGTTGTTAAAGATTGATGATGTCAAACAAAGTAATTTTGTGTTGCTGGCTTGTTGCTCCCCTACCCTGCTCACGATTGAAAAGAGAAGGATTTTTGGAGGTGAAGGACGGAGAACGAAAGTCTGGAGCCTAGAAATAGTTTAGATTTGTTGGGTAGGAGCCGTAAATATGGGTGGTGGGTGGAGGTTCGGCGAGCTTGGAGCCGGAGATGGAGAGCTTGGGGGCTGGAGGATGGATAGCTTGGAGGTTGGGCGAGCTCGGCTTGCAACTCGCAGCGCCTCTGCTACTGCTGGGTGGAGGAAGAACGAAATTGTAACTGGGGATTGCTGGGATAGACGATTAGAGTTTTGCGTTTTGATATTAGGACAGATAATTAACATTGATATAATTAAACATGTATGTATTATAAATGAAAAACTCTTAGTCGAGATGGTAAAGATTTCTCATCTTCAACCACTAAAAAATTAGTGGTTCGATCCCTGCTTCCTACTACATATATTGGATTTTTTCCAAAGTCAAGGGGGGTGTGCATGCACCCCCCTCAAGTGTGCATAGCTCTGCCAGTGACTATCGTTGGTCCATTTGTGTTTTCGCTTTAGTTCCTTAATTCACAGTGTGTGAGTGTACTGGGTGAATTAAGAATTGGAAAGCTGTAACTTGATTTCGTTTTAAGTTCAAAGGGCCAACTTGTTTGGTTGGCTAGGATTTCTTCGTGTGTAATCTGTACTTGTTTATTTGTCAATAAAACGATCTTCTTTCACAAAAGATGAAAGTCAGTGAGTTCGTAGTAGGGTAAGTTAGAGTCTCTGAAATAAGTTTTGATCCACATGCTAATTCACAGAGACGGATCTAAAGTGGTTTGTTGGGTTCAATAAACAAGAGAGGGCTATGGAATGTGGTCATGTGGATGTCAATTTTTGGTTTGAATCTCCAAAACCGCAACTCCTTTGTACGTTCTCATTTATTATGGATGTCAATAAAGTGGTGGAGCAGTTGGGTCTCAAACTCAAATCATGATGAGATGATAATTAAGTCTTTGTGTGAAAGGTGGAAGGACACCGCCGTAGCTTTTGAAGCTGGTACGATCAATTGTGACCAAAGCACCACTTGAAGTCCTACATATATAATCCACAACCTGTGGTTTAGTTGCCTCCCATAGTTATTCACCATTCCGTTAATTGACTTTGTGCAATTTGTGCATGAAAGACCTCTAATCTTTGCATTTTTAAATAATACACTACATTTATTTTCCGTTTAATTGCAAAACGAAAAGCTCATCATCGGGGGTAACTCAATGATAAAGGTATTGACTTTGAACAAATGGAGTCTCGATTTAAATATCATTTATGCCACTGTAGAGAATACCCACCTATGTGAAGTAACGAGACTTGACAAATCATATGGTAATTAAGGTTACACTAATCCCACCCTCTTTCTTCGTTTCGTCTGCCTCTCATTTTTTCGATTGTACTCAATTGATTTTAAGTGACAATTTTAACTAATTTGATATAAAATAAGTAATTTGATATATGTATTTCACTAAGGAATCCACCCCATATTTTTGACTCACCTGGCACTAAAATTAAGTGCACAATCTATTTAACTGGGATTTATGTTGATTTCAATGATGTGTGTTTATGGATCAAACAAACTGTAACCTTATGGTGAATGGTGTTAAACAAGAATGTGGCACTGAAAGGGACAAGAAAATGTGAAACATGAATTAAGGATGTGGATTAGGCAAAACCCAAACATAAAACGACAGAAGCAGAGCCTCATGTATTCAACAAACATATGAATTCAATGCGTGACGGGTGGGGTAGTTAAGCATGTGGATTAAGCCCACCCAGTTTGTGTTTTGTTGTGTTGGGTTTCCCTTTTGGCGATGATTAAGACTCTCCTAACCAAAGCGCTAAACGACGCATTAATATTCAGCAAAAGGCAAACGCAGCAGCAGCCCCGCCCGTAGGTAAAGTACAACTACGTAAGAGCAAGTAGTAATTAGCACTAATCCTTTTCCTTAATTACAAAATAAAGCGGCCTGCCCGATTGTTTGTTTATCCCTCTTCTTTTCCTTTTTCTAACCTTTACTAGAATAGAATCCACAACCAAAATTAGCAATGGCTGAGCTTTCACTGCTTCCAAATTACATTTAGCTCCCTCACCAATCCATCTCAAGTGGGCTCCAGTAGTAAGACTTCCCAGTCCCTCGGCCCAAGGGAATTCAACGGCCCATAGTCCATTTACCTTCATCACACGTAACACCATCCGTCCACCATAATGGCCTTCACGCCCGGTTCAGACAACGGTCGGGCCGACAACCGTCCGAGCTCCGCTAAACTGGACCCACCCCTTCGACGAGTCAACAACGAATCCAACCAGCACTCAGTCTTCCTAATACTAACAGTAACAACTCAACTTAACTTCCCGCACTCAGAATTTCCAGAAGTAAACACCAAAACCACCCACAAGAAAAAGAACTAACAGAAACTCCATCTCCTCCTCCTCTGCTCTCTCTCTCTCTTGTTCCAACAATAAGAAAGCCCTTTCCTTTCCCCTCACAGTAACAGAGACACTAGCTAGTAGTTTCTTTCTTTTGCTCTGCCTCTTGCCGCCTATGGCATAAGTAGCACTCCCCAGAAACACACAAGGATGAAAATGGGATCCTTCTTCTGCAGATTGGGGCTGCTGCTTCTCTCCATTGCTTTGCTGGTCGAGTCAAGCTCATCAGCAACAAACTGCAACAGCAGTACTTCAGACCGAGATCTTCTCCTTCTCTCAAAGGCATTCAGCTCGGTTTCCGGCTTCAACCCTTCCTGGTTCCATTCTCCCAACAATTCCACAAACTGCTCCCGCCCTCCTCCACTGACAGCAATCAAGCTCCCTTCCAGAAACTTGAGCGGCAGCGTTTCCTGGAAGTACCTCAGGAATTTTACCCATCTCCAAGTCATCGACCTGTCCAGCAATTCACTCCAAGGTCAGCTCCCCAGCTGGCTCTGGACCAAACCCAGCTTCACCGAAATCAACCTGGCCAATAACAAGCTCGGCGGAAGCATTGGGTTCGAATCCCCCTCAAACGGCACGTCGTTTCGTCGTCTTCCTCCTCCTCCTTCGTCGATCAAAGTGCTGAATCTCTCCAGCAACAGGTTCACCAACTCGGTCAAGCTCTCCGGTTTCCCCAATCTCGAAACCCTCGACCTATCCCGCAATGCGATTGGGTACTTGCCCCTCGGATTGCCCAACTTGACCAAGCTCCAGATTCTCGACGTTTCCGGCTGCGGAATCTCCGGCGACATCAGGCCGATTTCCGGCCTCCGTTCGTTGAAGTACCTGGATGTTTCCAATAACAGCTTGAACGGCACTTTCCCTTCCGATTTCCCTCCCTTGGCCGGGCTCAAGCTGCTCAACATCTCGCTCAATAACTTCACCGGCCGCGTCGGATTCGACAAGTACAACAAATTCGGGAAATCTGCTTTCATCCACGGCGGAAGTAGTCTCGTTTTCAATTCCTCCAAAACTCCGATCACCGCCAAAACCCCCAACTCCAATTCCAATTCCAATCAAATCCAAACCCTAACCAAACACCACCGTCACCAAAATCAAAACCAATCCACGCCTCATAAGATTCAGAAACCCGAAGCCCTAACCCACAAGAAGGAAACCAGACTGAAATCGAAGAAGCATAGAGAGCTAATCATCGCCGCCACCTCATCGGCACTAGCTCTCCTCCTCCTATCCTCTGCCGCGACCTGCCTGCTCTGTTTCTACAAGAGGAGGAAACTCGCGGGCCGGCAGAGGAGGTGGGCCATCTCGAAGCCGGTCCAGTACCCGTACAAGATGGAGAAATCGGGCCCGTTCAGCTTCGAGACGGAGTCCGGGACGTCGTGGGTGGCGGACATCAAGGAGCCGAGGTCAGCATCGGTGGTGATGTGCTCGAAGCCGCTGATGAGCTTGACGTTCAAGGACCTCATCGCCGCCACGTCACACTTCGGGAAGGACTCGCTCCTCGCGGAAGGGAGGTGTGGGCCCATGTACCGGGCCGTCCTGCCCGGCGACGTACACGTGGCGATCAAGGTGCTGGAGAAGGCGAGGGACATCGGCCGCGATGAAGCCGTGGGGATGTTTGAAAATCTGGCCACCCTCAAGCACCCCAACCTCCTGCCACTCTGCGGCTACTGCATTGCTGGTACGTAGCACGATTCAAGAACAAACAAAACAATATATAAAAATAAAACAAAATTGCAAAATATTCGTCGTCCCAAAGCTCATTAAATGCGTCTCTGCCTGTCTGTCATTAATGAGAGAGCGAGCAGGGGGAGGCTTTGAGGTGTCGTACTCATCAGCCAGATTGTTCTGTCTCTGAGTTCGTCAATGTCTATGGCCATCATTGCCTGGCTTTGGATTTTTGGAGCCTTTCCTTGGTTCATGTGCGCATTTAATGAGCTGGGTTGCAGATTACGTAGGGTTCAAAATTCAACCTTTTTTCCACCATTGAAGTCAATTTTCCAAACTCGTGCATTTGGTGTAGTACTACTAGTAAATAGTGTTCGCTGTGCTGCACAATAGTAATATGATTTTTCTTACCCTACCTGGCTGCCAGTGTAGAAAAATTGAAGCTAGGAACGAGTTATTCCGTTTATAGCAGTAGTATGAATTGCTGATACATTTCAGACTCTGCAAGTCAAATGGGTGGTCAGAAAATTTTGTTTATTTATTTGGATGGTAAAATTGGAAGTCGGGATTCAAATTTTAAGCAATTTTAATGGAGGGCGCATGGCCTAGTGTAATGTGAAAGGAGGAGGGGGGGAAGAATCCCAGTTATGGTGCATAAAATAAAATAATGGTCCAGTTAATGGGAAATCGAGAATTAAACGTGGAGTATAAGAAGCATAGATATCGCGGTGGAAATTCGAGGAGGGTATCTTATATTGTTAATTATTCCAAACATTTCCTGTCCTTGCAATTGATTAATCTTAGTTTTTTGGATGAAACAGGGACGGAGAAGCTGGTGATGTACGAGTTCATGGCGAACGGGGATCTTCACCGTTGGCTCCACGAGCTACCCACTCTCGAGCCCAACGTAGAGGACTGGAGCACGGACACGTGGCAGCAGGAGCAGCAGCACCCCCACGCTCGAGGGGAGGAGGAGGAAAAAGCCAACTGGCTAATCCGCCACCGCATCGCCGTCGGGGTGGCGCGTGGGCTGGCTTACCTCCACCACAGGGGCTCCACCCACGGCCACCTCGTCTCCACAAACGTGATGCTCTCCGACTCGCTCGAGCCCCGCGTCTCGGATTTCGGGCTCCGGAATTTCGGGCCGGATCAGGGACCCGCGGCCGCCGCTGTCGGGTCGGGGAGGAATAAGAAGCCGGTCGGGTTCGAGGATGACGTGTACTGTTTCGGGGCGGTGGTGGTGGAGTTGATGACGGGGAAGCCCGGGAGCGAGGAGAGCGTGCGGTGGGCGAGGAAATTGGTGAGGGAAGGGCGTGGTGTCGACGCGCTAGACTCGAGGCTGGGACGCGGTGGCGAGTTCGTGGTCGAGATGGTGGAGTGCCTCCGAGTTGGGTACCTCTGCACGGCCGAGTCGCCCGAGAAGCGGCCCACTATGCAGCAGGTATTGGGCCTGCTCAAGGACCTACATCGTGAGTTGACTTGATCACTTGGGTCGTCTGAGGTCCATTTTTTCCCCCTTCAATTTCCTTCTAGAATTTGGGTTTTCCATTCTCAAGCTCTGAGGATGATGGCTTTCACGCGTTAATGAATGGAGGTGTGAAGTTGTAACTGTTCATTTTTTAGGGTTAGGGATTGTTAGTTGATCGAGTTTGTGGAAAAATGGAAAAAGGTAAATTTGTTCAGAGATTGTGACATTTCATCATTTTTCAAGTTTAATTTATTATTATTTGTGATGAAACCACCTTCAACATTACTACCGTCACTAAACCAAACTCTTGTTCGCATAAGATCACAATCTTAGTTCCAATGAACCTATGTCAAACCCTTTGAATCAAATAACTCAGAGCTCAGAGTTGGAGTTTGCAGCTATGATTTAGTAAAGTGTGAATCATTTGTTAGAATTGGTAACTTAGCTTGGATTAAAAAAAAAACACACGAACTGGTTTAAGTTTCTAGAATTTCTAACCAAGAGCATCCCATGAACCCCATGAATGATCCCCTGCAATTAGGCAAAGATTTACGTGGTAGTACTTTGTTTATTCAGGAATATTGGTAATATATTGTTCACTTTATTAATTAATTAGTTGCGTAACGTAGGAAAATAAAGAAGAAAAAGGAGGGAGGGGACAAAAGGAGGTGGGGAGGTGGTGGAAGAATTGTTGTCTTTTAGGTTAGCAAATGCAGATGGATATGTTGTGTAAGAGAGAATCCCACTTATTATTTGTCTCTACTCTCTACTCTTCTCTTCTCGCACTGATCATCTTGTTTATGTTATCCCAACTTGGATTTGTTTAGTCTTTATTTTTGCATGCAAATTATTTCGCTTACAGCTTTAAAGGAAGGCCTTTATTTCTTTGATGGATCCTTTTGAAGGGGGGGACTTTATTCCATTTGATTTGTTTTCTTTCTACGCAGTCTACTTCTTTTGATGCGGATTCTTCTCATCATTTTATTGAAGGGCCCATAAAAAAAAAAATCAAAGGAAAAAGAGAAAGAAAAATCAACAAGAGAAAAACGTAGTAAGTGGGATGGGTAGATAGATGCCCCTCTCGATGGCAATGTTTTAGGATGATAGTGATTTAAGTGACGACTTGATTAGTATTTCATTAAGCTACTAATTGACTAGGCGCGGGCGGGGGACCATATTGGTCGCCGTCGCCGGCTATTTGTGAAGTTGGAATGTTTGTGCATGGGCGGCTGCCGTAGTTTCCAAATCCACGGACGAATTTAGACCATGCATCATAAGAAGGCATTTTTAATGTGCTGCAGCCTGCAAGTTGGCCATCGCCTAGAATCCTCCCCTAAATCTGCGACAATTAACCTTACATTATATATTCTCGATATTAATATATATAAATCCGAAGTAATGTTACTGTCACCTAAAAATTAACATTTTGATACCTCAAATTTAATTCAATCACAACTTATTTACTATAATATATATTTAACATTTTGATATCCTAAATTTAATTTAATGTAAAATCATTGAACACTTTGATATCTAAATTTTATGAGATTTTGTATCTACAATTTTTAAAATTTACATATGGGTCCAATGTTTAGATTTCATATAAATCTGAAGTAATGTTACTGTTATCTAAAAAGTAACATTTTGAATACCAAATTTAATTCAATCACAACTTAGTCACTATAATGTATATTTAATATTTTGATACCCTAAATTTAATTTTAGTGTAAAATCATTGAATAATTATACTTTGGTATCTAAATTTTATGAGATTTTTGTATCTACATTTTTAAAAATTTATATATTGGTCCAATGTTTAGATTTCACTTGAATCCAATCCACTAATCCTTTAGAACCAATCTATGAATCCAATCCACCATACATAAAAGTATAGATTTAGTTTGTACAATTAATATATATAAATCTGAAGTAATGTTACTGTTACCTAAAAAGTAACATTTTGATACCTAAATTTAATTCAATCACAACTTTGTCACTATAATGCATATTTAACATTTTGGTATCTAAATTTTATGAGATTTTTGTATCTACAATTTTTAAAATTTAAATATTGGTCCAATGTTTAGATTTCATATAAATCTGAAGTAATGTTACTATTACCTAAAAAGTAACATTTTGATACCCCAAATTTAATTCAATCACAACTTAGTCACTATAATGTATATTTAATACTTTGATACCCTAAATTTAATTTTAATGTAAAATCATTGAACAATTATACTTTGGTATCTAAATTTTATGAGATTTTTGTATCTACAATTTTAAAATTTACATATTGGTTCAATGTTTAGATTTCACTTGAATCCAATCCACCAATCCTTTTGAACCAATATATGAATCCAATCCATCATAACATAAAAGTATAGATTTAGTTTGTACAATACAAAATATTGTATCACTCAACTGTAGGAGAAGATTCGACCATTTCATATTTGCTCAACTGTAGGAGAAGATTCATCCATTTCATATTTGCTCATTACGTGAAACATTAAATAAACGACAAAACAGAGACGACTCTCAAATATTGCAACAACAAATTTATAAATTCATTTGGTACATTTACGAGGTACTAAACAAACTTCTACGGTGAAAAGGGTTGATTGTTGTACTGACGGCCAACTAAAAGAATCGGTCAAAATCTTTCCATTATCTACTTCCTCTTCGTTTCATTTTTCACTTTCCTTCCATAACCCTTTTTTAATTTCTTTGTTTGCCTTCTTCGTCTAACCCTAATTAGTAAACTATTTTTATATATTCTAATTACAAGTATGAACGGGTCCATACACGACTCACCAATAGTCTAGAGAACTAATAATTAAACCATAAAAATTTTCAGCTCAATGTCAATGTCGAGTCCAATTAAAAATAAATATATATGGTTATTACTTATTAGAAAGTCATCATCTTCGAATATGAGATTTGAAGGCGTGAAATTTTTTACTCGGGCTAGAATTTTCAGCAATTATACATGGAATCTTGGGCTAGGTATCTACACATATCAAATAAATAGTTTCATTTTTCTTTAAAAAGGTAAATAATTATCATCTTAAATACATCACCATAAAATGAATTAAGCCTCAACTTTGCAAATTACAGTTTGGTACCTAAACTTAATAGATATTTAGATTTATAACCTAAATTTGTTTTTTAACATATAAGTCCTCAAAATATTGATGGAACATTATATTTTAGTACCTAAAATTTTAGTGTATTATATTTTGGTACCTAAACTTTTGAAGATCTACAAGTAGGTCTAATTTGTGTATGTTGACTCAAAACACCCTCGAATAAATGGGTATTCATACCCAACTCACACACATTTAGATTACGTAAGTAAATATCAATACCCTACCAAAACCCATCTACAAACTTCAAAATCCATATATATGTCACCCATACCCTACCCATGATCAATGGGTCTACTTGGGTTTAGCTAAATATCATTTACTATCCAAAATTTTCAAAATATTTTAAATTGGATGTTAACCGCCATATATCTTTTCTCAGTAAAATCATAATTTCAAGTCAATATTACTAATACAACTGCTAATAAAAAATTAATTTTAGACTAATAATAGTAACAAATACTATAAGGGGCCACATAATACATGCCCATATGTCAATGCATGTCATCTCCGCCCCTCCAAGTCTCACCGAACAGCTTTTGCGGTCGATCCAAACTGCACCGCAAGACTTGCGGTTTAATATGCGGTTTGAATTTTTAGTGGCTCGCGGTTTGCGGTTTGGTCAATCCTGAAACCGCGTGAAGGACTTGACCAATCTAATAAAGAGTGAAAGTGGAATTCCAAAAATACCCTCTAAGTAGTTATAACATGGCCTAATCACTCCACCATCTTTTGAACCAATCCACGAATCCAATCCACCATAACATAAAAGTATAAATTTAGTTTGTACAATACAATATGTTGTATCACTCAACTGTCGGACATTGCTCATTACGTGAAACATTAAATAAATGATAAAAGAGAGACGACTCTAAAATATTGCAAGAGCGAATTTATAAACTCATTTAGTACATTTACGGGGTACTAAACAAACTTCTACTAACTACATGTAACAAAATATGCGACACTAGATAAGCAAGTGTCAATAAATTGCTACGGTGACATGTGTTGACTGTTGTATTGACTGCCAACTAAAATAATTAGTCAAAACCTTTCCATCATCTACTTACTCTTCGTTTCATTTTTCACTCACCTTCCATAACCCTAATTAGTATACTATTTTTATGTATTCTAATCACAAGTATGAACGGGTCCATACACGACTCACCAACAGTCTAGAGAATTAATAATTGAACCATGAACCACTAACTTTTTCAGCTCAATGTACTGTCAAGTCTAATTAAAAATAAATATATATGTACTTCAAAAAAAAAAAATAAAAAAAAAAATAAAAAATATATATGGTTATTACTTATTAGAGAGTCGTCATTTTCCACTATGAGATTTGGATCCTTGAAATTTTAAGCGAGTTCCAGTTTGTATTCCTTTTGATTCTCTCTAGAGTTTTTCTTTGGCTAGAATTTTCAACTATTATACATGGAATGTTTAGCTAGGTATCTACACATATCAAATAAATAGTTTCCTATTTTCTATAAAAAAGTAAATAATTATCATCTTAACTACATCGCCATAAAATGAACTAAGCCTCAACCAGTGGCGGATCCAGAATTTTTTTATAGGGGTGTCCTCTTTAAAAAAATAAAAAATAAAATAAAAAATTCATAAATAAGAAAATACACGACTGGTACACATTTTAACAAAAGGCCACGACGTGTTTTCATATTCTGAAAAAGAATATAAAATATACTCGACGTCTTTACTGCTCAACAAATCTATATATCATACTAGACAATAATATATGAACTGATCTCATATTCGAATTCTAACCCTGTTCTTTATGTATCTCAAAGTTGAAAGACTCTTTTAACTCTTGTTGTGTAACTATAAAATCAATTCAAATTAAAGATAACCCACAATCAGTTTAGTTGTTATTAAATAGTTGGGGATAAGCAATAATGTTTTTACTATTTCTTAGTGTTTAAATAGAACAAGAAATGAGTTGCAACCTAAAGAATATGTTTAATAATAATAGTGTCCTAAGTTTGAATAATACAAACTACCATTTATAATTTTTTAATCTTACACAAACTACTATCGAGAGTAGTATAATCAGTTTTTTCAAATTTAAGGGTGTCCCGGATTACCAATTATAATTTTTTCTCCGTACGAAACTATTGTCGTGGGTTGGATAATCGTTCTTCCAAATTTTAGGGGTGTCCCGGGACACCCCTAAATGTCCATATATCCGCC